CGAGCAGCATTTCACAAGTGGTTTTTCGATTTTCTTGCTGTCTTTCATTCAGTTCATGTGGAACTCATTTTCCCACTTTCTGAATCTTTCCCATGGCTTTCAAACGAATTGAGACAGCTTTCTGCGTCACATTCAATTCATCCGCGAGTTCTTGTTGAGTTTGAGTATCATCTTCATCCAATAAGGCTTGCAATTCGTTGTCTGCGAACTTTTTCGGTAGTTTCCCACGCTCTTCGTTTCTCACGTCAAAATCACCACTTTTGAATTTTTTGAACCGCTCGAAACACTGTGTTTTACCAAGAGCATGTTCACCGTAAGTTTCGACAAGCATTCGATGCGATTCTGCAGCAGTTTTCTTCAAATGATAACAAAAAACCAATGCTGTCCGCAAATCGTAGTTTGTAGGCACAAAACTCGATATGTTTAAGGTTATAGAAAAATATACCGGTGTATGGAACTTGGGTTGTTGTGTGTTGAAAATACTCGTCAGCTGTTAGAGGGAGAAGATGGCGCTGCAGAAGCGGTCTTACGGTCCCTAAACTGATGGCTAGCACCATCTATAGGGAAATTCCAGTTTCATTCTTCTACACCTGGTAAAGGTCGAATCCATTCGTTTATAGCATTGTTGCTGGCTGCTTCTGTCGTATCTTTCACATCGAGGATCTGTAATTGCCAGATAAAAATACGTCCAACCTTTGGTCTGGAGACGTTTGAAGAATATTTAAAGATCTTTAACAATTTTCGGGCATTCCCGTCGATCGCGCGAGGTTACTAATTGACGATGAGGTTATTCCGTTTATTGGAACGACCGAATTCTCCAGCTGTTTAAACGAAAGATCCAATTAATCATGACATGTGCATTTAATACATTTACCGTGATAATTGATTTAATAGTCAGTTAAGTAAACCAGTACACCGAGAGTTATCGGCCGACATCAGTGTCAATTACAATTTTCCGAGCGGCATGACCCGGCTCGAATTAAATCAGATAATGTTAAATATTGGGAGTTCGCGCATTTATTATATAAGTGGCGTTCTCAAGGGGCATTTTCGGCTCGCTGGCGAAGAAACGGTAAGAAAGAACGCACTCAGAGCTGCGCTATATTGCGGATATGTCGTCGAGGTAGGTGAGTCCATTCCCAGGGCTTTGTTGAACGGGATTGGTACCGAGCCCAGGGGACATGCCGAGCTAGAAGATCTCTATTATGTCAAGGAAGGACGAAATGAGCTTCTTGGGACTTTCGTTTCGTTCTTCCTCGCCCGATCGCTCAATAGAAATCATTTCGCTTGCGACGACAGATTTAGATTTACCGAAGGAGATTTAACAACCGATCCATGATCGTGACGGTGACGTGATAGTGCTTAATATCGTAAAATGTAAACAGACACCTGCTGTCGTCGAAACGATCGTCGATTGAAGATAAAATACTAAATGGACGTTAAAATGCTTAATTAAATTAAGACCGCTCCTTATTGGTAATACCAAGAAAGGAAATTAGGGTTAAAAAGGCCATGAGGAATGAAGCATGGTTGTGATATAGTGCTATCTTAAATAATAATATTGCCAGTATTACCCGTGCTTCATTCTTCATGGTCTTTCCAATTCTTTCCTTGAAAAAATTCATGCCCGATTCTACCATCATAGTTGAAATCCAAACGATAATGAACTCAACGAAATTAATCAATCGCATTACTCAATTCAGCTAATTGGCCAGTTTGTCGAATTGGTCAATTTTGTCGACAATTGGTCAATTTTGTCGAGTTAATCGTCAATTGAATTTAAACCATGATGGTAGAACCGGGCATTAGTTAGAAATTTGTATGATTCACTACGGAACGGACACCGTGTTATGTGTAAAAACAAATGACGCGCACCCAGTGCACGAAAGGCCACGAGAATCAATAAGTTATCAATAGTGCTGTGTACAGGGAGAGAAAGGGAGATAAGATATGCGATGTCATTAGAAATTTGCGTTTGATAAACAGAAGATTCGCTCGTTCGTTCGCTCGCTCGCGCCCGCAACGACAGCGATAAATTCACCGTGCAACTTGTCGCGCCGGCTTCGACGCGAGTTTTCGCGAGAGAGAGCCGTTAGAAACGCCGCGAGATCTTAGCGCGCGCCACGCGTATCGTTATAAATTTTAGAATCGCGGAATAGAGACACAATGCATATAGTCCGCCTCCGCTCCGTAAGAGAGAGAGAGAGAGAGAGAAAGCGCACAATTTATTATCGCGTCGGCGGTAAAATATTCGCGCTTGAGCCGCAGCGGAGGAGCGTCAAGGTTTAGAAATATTCACTGGGATCCGCGTACTCTGTCCGTTACATTTCCGCTCCGGTGACAAAATTTCGCCATACGCGATCACTCTCGGCCGAATTCGGATCCGTCTGTCTCGCTCCGAAATTGGACGGAGCGCGTTTATCGCGCGCGGATACGCGCGAGCCCGCGAGTGCCTCGTGAAACTTTAACGCGTCACGTCGAACGGGGAAATGAGATGCGTCCATGCGTGCCGATGCAAGGAATCGGCCGGTCCCGGATTTCGGCTCGGAGGGTAAAATCCATCGCGAAATCCGGCCCGCGACAGCCTCGTAAATAATCAACGGCTCTCCGGCGGCGCGAGCCGACAACAATATTGTAACACCGGCTCCGCCGTTGTCGATAACGTGCGATTGACAGGCCGGTCTCTATCGCTGCGCGTCCCGTCTTCGTCCGTGTGACAGTCGTCGCTGCAGTTGCACCGCTGACGCTCGATTCGTATCACGTGAAGATCCCCGACGTCCACCGCCGCGTAATCATTTCCGCTCTTCGGCGGCAATAGCTCGTCGCCGTCGTTGATACACGAGAAGAACAGATTGCTGTTGTTCTCCCCGAGGACTCGTTCCGGCAGAACGGCCGCGTACTTCTCGCACGTTTCCGCGGCGTCCGTCGCCTCTCGCCGGGCTTCCTGCGACAGATCCGCGCGAATTATCGCGCCCCGCCGTGAATAACGCAAGTTTAAAGTGCTTCGCGTTGAAAACCCTTTCTGTCTCCGTGCCCCTTTTTTTTTACACGCGTCAGGTCGATCGACCTGCCCCGACGCTTCGATATTTCACCGTTGCTTTTTATCCGACGCGGTGGTGGCGTGGTAAAAAATAAAGCGAGCTATCGCGCCACGGCGTTCTTACCGCGATCTCCGATCCGCTCAGTTTATCTTCGACGAGCTTCCGCAATTTCTGCAGGGCCGCCTCATGCTTGCTCCTCGCTTTTTCGTGTTCCGAATAAACGTCCTCGGCGAGGCTCCAGTATCCGTAGGCGCCAGCTGCGCTGGTATTGCCGTCTCTGCCGTGAGAGCTACCGCCGAGGAACCAGACGGTGTATCCTCGCAAAATTGGATATTGCTTCGTACGCATGCACCAATATAAGGAGAAGCAGAGAGCGAGCTCCTGATTGGGCCCACCGTTGACGGGACGCGCGCCGTCGGGGAGGTGGACCGCCGGTCGACCTCCCAGCAAGAGGCACAGTCCCAGGGCCCATTTGTCCTCGGTGGGAAACAGCGCCCACACCTTCTGATCGCTCAGCGAGCACACCGGGCTCTCCTTCATCTGCTCGTACATCTCCAACCTGGTAATTTGGCCCTCGACCGCCAGGATCATCAGAGACGCGAGCTTCGCGTACTCCTGCCCGAATTCGTCGACGGTGCCGCTGCAGGTGGACTCTAATTTCAAGGGGGACAGTCCCAGTTGCAGGGCCCGTCTCGCCATGCGTTCTATCGCGTCCGCGTTGCACGCGATCACATGCTGCCTCACGAAGTTGTACCTGCCGTCCTCGTTTAATTGGGCGTCGGCCGGCGTCCCCGGCGGTCCCGGCGCCCCTAATACCTCGCGCACGCTCTGCGACACCTTGTCGAGAAGTTTGTACTTCATCAAAACGAGCAGGGCCGTTTGGTCCTTCGGCTCGTAGACGCACGGACCACCCCCCAATTGTTCCGGCGGTTCTGCTGACACGTCAGACGTGAAGAGGGTGATGACTTTAGCCGGATAAGCCAGACGCGCCAGATCGCCGCCTGAAAATTTCTCTCCCATTGTATCCGCCCTTCGTGCCGCGATTATTGTTGGGGAAAACTTGTTTTCGGAAGGGCTTGACGCAATTTGCGCCGGTTCTCGCGTCGCGGAAACGCGGGGAGATACGTGCGCGTCTCGAGACACGCCGTCGATCGATCGAAGGCAAGTTTTCTTCGACGATATTATCGCCGGGAGCGAAAAATGGAGGAAAAGATCTACTCTTATCTAAATGTCTTATCTAACGTGTGCGCGCGCTTTTTCTTTCTCCTTCGAAAGGTACAACGTCACGGAACTTTTGTCTGTACTTCCTCTTTCCCAGCGCTGTACGCTAATTTAATTATAAGATATGGATAATTATTACGAGGTCGAGGTAAATTAATCTCAATAGCGGACTCGACGCGATACGTTTAGTCATGAGGACGATGGAGGAATTAGGCGGTCCGTTAGATTACATTCGTGCCCCTAACAGGATTACGGCGAGACCTCCGATGGAACAGCGGGGACGAAATGCGAGTTAGTAAAAGTTCCATCGGCGATTAATAAAATTCTCTCGCACCTGACTGAACCCACTTACCCCTTATCGCGGAAAGTTTATTCCTCACGATATTGATTTCCTCGGGAGTCGCATTAGCAGCTTTTAACCTGTTGAGAACTCTCAACTTATCTCTCAATGTAATTGTATCCCGCGGGCAGCACAGGAGATCGTCGGAATCTCGCGACAGCATAACCACCAGCAAGTCGCGTTTCTTCAGTCGTTTACAGTAATTCGCGATTTTCCGCGTGGTGTCGACCATATCACCATCCGGCAGTCCGTCCTTGCCGACCTCGACCAAGTTTATACGACTGTCCAATTTCGGGAACGCTTTCGGATAGCTCCATATCGCGAAGATCGACTTGCGAGGTACCACTATAAATCCTTTTTTCAATTGTTTGCCGACTATCCTCTCGAACGTCGTGCTCATAACGCCGGCTTCCCTGCCCCAGCCGACTATGTGCAAGTTATTTTTGATTTTGTACTTCACGCCCTCGATTGTCATCGTGGCGCGGCCGTCGTAGTTAATCTTCTCAGGTACAATCGCTGACGGCTGAATGGACTCTATACCCGCCTCGATGATGGTACGCAGGTCTCGACGGATCTATATTTATTAATGAGGTCGGGAAAAGGTGCTTAAAAATTTCTGCGCTGATAAAACACTTGATCGCGAATATATACGAATTCCGCTTTGAATGAATAATTCCATCGTAATCTTTGTGCAAAATGAAATGGCAAGAGAATAATAAGTTGCGCTGTAACCTGCACCATCGCTTTTTCGCCGCGCAATTTTTTCGCATCCCTCATCTCTTTCTGCCGAATGCACTCTTCCATATCGAGACGCGCATTTTCTATCGCTTTCCTGTCAAATCGTCTACGCTTTAAGGAAAGTTCCACCTCGCTTATGACTTTCTGTCTCTTCGCTTCCACCGCCGCGATTCTCCGCGCTGTTTCTTCTTGTTTCGACGGATCGATCACTTTCCGCTTGCGTTCCCTGGGTTGCTGCATGATTTAACGGTGTCCTTTTTCATTACGTTTTAAAATGTAAAATAGGATTGCGCGGAATGTAACGGGACATGGTTGGGTGTTTACATTTTAGGTTACCAGGTTGAATATAATTCCAAGTCGCTTCAGTCTGAATAACGGCGGGCGTTAAAACAGTGCGATTAACTTTTGTTTATTTCATTAGCGTTTTCGTTTATTTTATTTATCTCAGTTTTCCCCGGACACTTTTATTTCTCGCTGGTAAACAAAAGTTTATCCAACTTGTTGTTCGGTCGTGCCACTGAAGATTATAAAGCGGTCGTCTGTTCCCTCGTTGAGTCGTGCTAATTAAAGATAAAAAGAAGGCCGCCTCATTTGCCGTTGAGTTGTTCTGATTGAAAATAAAAATGTTTCCTGGCTAGCCGTCGAATAGTATTAATTGAAAATGAAAAAGTCCCGCCGTCTTGTTAAATTGTGCCACGATGTGCAACCGAGATAGTGGCGTATCGTAGCGGAGACTTTGGAACCACACACTTGAACAAGCGGAAAGAGCAGGTGTACAAGCGGAAGCAGATATTCGGAGATTACCGATCGTTGGTACTAGAAAGTTGAATAAAAGCAGCTACGAGTTATTCACAGCCAGTATCAGCAATGCTGTTCCCGTTGCTCATCAAATATTGAATAATATTGCTGACACTATCAGTGAATAACACGCGACCGATGAAATTGTGGTTTCATTATTCTTCATTGCTCGTTATCGCTCACCGAATCTTATTCAAAGACAGAATAAGACGTTGCTGCTGATATTAGCCGCGAATAAAATGGCGCGTTGCTGATACTGGCAGCGAATAACGTCATGCAGCCAGCGCTACAAATAAACGGGCAGAATCCTATGCGAAGAGAGTAACGCTACTTTCCGAGTGGCGCAACGGGTCGCAGGCACTCGATGACACCACGCGCGAGTGACGGCATATTGAGTGTTCTCGGAAATATAGGAAAATTGAACGACAGAGGTTATGTGAGGGAAAAAGTGTCCTAGCCGAATTATTACGTTCTTGGGGTAACGCCAATCGCGTCCGGCGAAGGTGTTGGTTTCTCGCGGGAGAATGATCGGCGAGAATTGAAATAATCGACGGGGCGCGGAAAGCTATGTTCGTTAAGTGATAGTGCGACGGTGTCTACAGTTTTACCAGTCCGTGTAATAGAGGCTTAATAAAAGTCACTTTGAAAAGCAGAAAGGGAATTATGGAGAGCCGCAACGCTCATTTGTTTCGCGTCAATTGCATGCCGAAACTCCTCGTTTTACTTCTTTCCTCCGTGATGGTAACGAGCTTACCAATAAAAGAGGCTGAGTCTGTCGTTGACGTCATGAAGAAGGACACTAATTTATGCGACAGCATTCAAGTTTTATATGAATCAGAATATATAAGAAGTTGTGCAACGGTGAAGTATCCCACTCAAATTTTAAACATCGCGGAGGACAATTTGGATACGTATATGTGTTTAGGAGTTTACGATACGATGTTCAAGATTTGCAACTACTCTGATGTGAAAATAGATAGTGTAGCAATATTCAATTCAAATGTGAAGAAATTCTTTCCTGGGACTAAGTGGGAAAAAGAGGAGAAATTCTGCAAGGACAATTTGCAGGGATTCACGCCGCAGTATAATAAAGTAGAAAAATACTTGGGACCACTGGCTGAGAAATTCAACAATCCTCACACATGTCAGAGAACATGCTTCAACTTCAACGATGTCTTCCGTCCATTATGCGCGGTATTCGCTTGGATCAAGAGTGTTGATGATAAAATGAAAAAGCCGATCGTATCGGTAACGAATCGTATTCCTGTGGAACTTGATTTTCTAAAAGCCCCGGTGGATCTTCCACCAAGTGACAAGAAACTGGAGACTGAACTGAAAGGGATTAAAAAGAAAGCAGAAGTAGAAGAACTTAAAGAGCAATCACATAACAAAGTAGAGAATGCGTCTAACAACAATGTATCGAATGAATATACGCAACCTAATACGGAAAGGGTCGAGTCCAAAATCGAAAAATCGAATAAACACGAAACCCCGAAAACGTTAAATACTACGAAGACACAAGATCATAATCTACGTGACAAAGGCAAAGAGAATATTAATGATGTTAAAGTTGAAACTAAGCTGAAACTAACAACTGTCGATGCCCCAAAGATAGACATCCCGGACAACGTGCCAAGCAAAAATGTAAATATGAAAGAAGTCGCGAAAGGAGGAAAAGCAGAGGAAACTAATGGAAAAGCAGAAGCTGAAGACCCAAAGACTAGTACTCTTTCTGAAAATACACAGAACCATTATGGTGACCAGAGTGACGAAGTGGAAGATCCCGGTGACGGTATTTCTAATGAGAATATTAATTCTCAAAAATGTGCATTTGTTTATTTGTTGACACTAACTTATTTTTACAATAATACATATCATTTATTTTAAGCATACGTGAGAGCATAAATGTAACGAGAACACATTCGAAATTGTATTTTGTTGTAATCGTAATTTTGTATAATGATAAGCCACACGTCATTTTATTTTTAGAAAAATAAAATCTTATATATATATATATTTTAAAAACTCAATTTTCTATAAAACTGTATTTTGTCGCAGAATGCATTTCATAGTTCGTGAATTTAGCTACTTAAACAATGTGCACTTATAACAAATTTTGCTTCTTTTCACATAATTCTTGATATTTTACTCAAAACTAATATATATGTAATTTACAGATGCTGATGGAACGATTCAGCAGCCGCCAAATACAGGTAAGAGAATACTGCGAAGACTCTTTTTATCTCTGCGAAGATCTCTTTTTATGTACCAGTTGATTATACACAACAATAACATCGTGTAATTATGCACTGCAGAGAATCAACATGAAAATCTACAGGTACCCAGTGAACAAAAAACACACTATGCTAAAAGGACTGACGGCGATTCTCATTTCTTCACTTATTTCACCGTGACCACTGTAGCGTGTATCGCCTGCTACATAGGCTATCATAACAAGCAGAAGGTGAATTTATCTCGCACACGTTCTTTTGACGTTGGTAATTCCACCGAGCATCATTTGTAAAGGTCTCTTCATGTTTTCAGATACTTGCTATTGTATTGGAAGGACGAAGATCAAGAAATAGTCGCGGCAGACGTCGGCCAAGCACAGCCAGCTACCGGAAGCTGGACTGCACACTCGAAGAAGCTGTTACGTCGCAATGTAACGCCAACGTTACTCATGTCATATATTAATGCGAGTAGAATATCACAAGTTTTATATAATGTCTGTATCATAGTACTGCAGGTGTAATATATTTTATATTTAAGCATACTTCCAGTATATACACATATAATGCTATCATTTGATTTCTTAAGGATTGTTTCGTGTTTTTGCGAGTCAAACAATCTTTCAGGATATCGAAATTTATGAGTGATACATGCTGTAACATGTTACAACATGTATATACATAGCATACATGGTATAATGCTTGGTGATACCAGAAAATATACAATTATACTTTCATTTCGTGTGAAGCCGCGCGAATGAAACGAACCATTTATCATTTATAAAATATGAAATGTATCGCCAATCAATAGCGCATCGTCGAAGAGAGAGATCCGGAGGAATTTTCTATCGTATAATATATCGTACAAAGACGCACGGACATTTAAAAGCTACAATTTCCGGATGAGAGGATAAATATAACGAGAATTCTCGTTTAATGTGTGCGACATTCTCTAATTCTCAAACAAATCGTTCCTCCCGGATTCTATACAAAGTATACGCAATACTAAAGAATATCTGTATTAATTTTGTTACGTCGTATTAAGTATTTTGTAATTCATCAAGACTTTTACGTCTTAATTCCGACTGTGAAGGGATATAGTACGACTGTAAACAAAATCTTTGGTATAGACTTTAAACAATCCATCTATCAGAAGTTACTAATTAATTTAAAATTATATTTTATGATTTAAATTATGTTTCTGTGTAATAAATTAGGACTTACGATCTTCATTTAGTCGCTATGCTTAAGTTTGCAAATTTTAAACTGCCTTTTGTATACTTTATTTATTTTGTTAACTGAACAGTCCATCTCTAGTGAACATAAGTTCAAGAAATTTCACAATGGATTTCTCTGGTCGGGCGACCTAAGACCGTATCAATGCGACTTCGGTTATCCTGTAACAACGCGAATAGAAATTCGAGAAGATATGATCTGGATAAGGATATGATTACGCGTACGAAAACAACACAAGAGGTGGCGGAAAGGCTTTATCACTTCAGTAGAGTCTATCTGAAATAGTTTACCGTAAAATTATGCGAACTTTACATTCTACCCATATTTTTCTTTTAGTTTAAAATTTATACGTTAAATGTCAAAATGTATTAGATATTCTTTTTGTGAGCGTCGAATTGTCGAATGCAATTGTGTTATTGTAAAAAAATACTTAAGCCATCATGCGTTAAAAAAACGGGGTTATCTCATAATAGATAAAGCTAAAATAGATTTTATAATCATATATTCCGTAGAGAAAACAAAATCGGATCATATGTTTAATATACGATCGCGACGAATCCGGATAAGTTATTTTCGTTTTCGTTGTTGCTTCGGAAATTAATATCTTTTATAGAATTATTAGAATTATTATTTTACGAGCTGTGCAAGTACTATGTGTACAGTATATGTGATGTATTTTATAGTATATGCGTATATTTAATAGTAGAAAATTGTTTCTGCGATCGCACTCGATTTTGCAGCACTCGCTAGATGTATTGTCACCTTGATTTTTCTATTTTTGTCCTAATAAATAAATTTTTTTTTCTCTCGATTTAGTTGGTAATAGTTATGTGTGGTAAAGAATAAAATTAAATTCGCTTTAATTTTCTTAATTAATTTTCTTAACTTATTGCCATTTTATGCTACGGAAAGGATTGTTACATTCTTTTAAATGCGTATTGAAATTTATCGGGTAAAAATGGTATATCTTTATTCGAATGTTCACATGAACGATCATTCAGTTTAATTTAATAACTTATTCGTCAAGACATATTTCTCACTTAACACCGCATTAGTTTCCCAACGTAAAACCGTCCAGTTGTATCCAGTTAAAATTCATGGCTAACCTTGTAAGTCTTTACATACAATTTATAATGAATTTAATATCTGATGAAACGGAATATAAACCTACGTTTACGTAAACCCCAGAAACATAGTAATTCGAAAACAGTTCGACTTAGTATGAAAGGAATACTTTGCTGCTGAAGCTGTTGTTTATTAATTAATGTATAAACGTCGAAAAAATTTCTGTGAATTACTTGTACATTTTTATTAATAAATGCTAAATGCACATCTATTTTTCTTAATCGCTCGGAAATTGCTTTTTGATGTAAGATTGATAATGCGAAAATTCTGTCTGTAAATGTTTCGGTAAGAAGAATAATGCAAAAGAAAAATCTTGGGATCAATATTTGAAGAAAAAAAACTGCGGACGAGATTTCTCCGACTTTTATTTAAAAATTTGCGATTTTTCGAGAAAATTCTGCAGTTATACTCCAGAGGAATTGAACTTGTCTTCGTTTGTAATCTCCTTAATGTAACTCGAGAATTATGAGTATCTAGATAATTCAGTTAAGGAAGTTCTAAATTGGTCAAGTTTGATCTCCCATAAAAAATTTCAGGCTAGGTTATATTTCACACGATCTCACGTACGAAATGGAGGACATAACAAGCTGCATCCAACATCTCTATCTCGGAATATTGCACCATTGTTACAGTAACGAGGACATTTTATGTCTTTTAATCAGCTTCTCGACTGCTCGCCGGACGATCGAAGCGTTATCGTCAGCGCACAATGAAAGTAATAATGCGAATGATAAAATGAGATTGAAAACGCCCACCATAGTAGTTAACGACCTAAAAAAAATCGCGATTGTTACGAATCGTGCTAATATCCATAGAGACGTGCTCGTGCCGTACATTACATTCCTGACCCGATGATATCGAGCTTATCGCGCTTTAGGGAATTGTTAGGTTGTATATAGCACGTGATATTGTATTTGATTCCAAAGCCGAATAAATGATTATGGACATATCACCTGGAATATTCGCTCCAATGATTAACAGTGAATGGCCGTTTACAAATGTCTATGGGATTTTGTAACGAAACGTCTTTTCTCGACGATCATTCATATGCGATCCAACGTAAAAATTTCTACTTTTTATTACACGTTACAAATCATTTACTACACTTCAACGTTCCTTCATTTATATTCATTGTCTACAAGCTTTATAGGAAACCATACTAATTACCTAGCTGTCAGCGCAAAAAACGGCGTCCCTACTGTTACGTCGAATCCAGTTCAAGTAATCCGTGATTTTCACGTATACACCTGGTATTCCACGTTTGGCGCAACCGATACCCCAGGAAACTACACCTGTCGGAAAATGAAAGAGAAAATAATTCCGCATACTTGTGAATTGGATTGAATCTTGCGCTATGATTTATAAATATATACGTATCTCTATATACAAATATATTAAAAATAATATTTATAATTTCAATTATGAGAAACACGAAAGTTCTACACGAAAACACATTCGATGATATTCTTACCGATCATTTCGTATTTGCCGTCTAGCCTTCCGTACAAAAGAGGTCCGCCGCTGTCACCCTGAAATTTTGAATGAAAAAGTAAACGCCATCTCTGACGTAATTAATATCACATATTTATTAAATGGAAATATGTGTATTTAAACGATTCGAGTATTATTTTACTTACTCTTATATATTTATTAAGATATAGATGGGTATATGTTATAATTATAAGTTATATTTGTTATAATTAATAAATTAATAAATTAATAAATTAATAAATTAATTATAACAAATATAACTTATAATTATAACATATACCCATCTATATCTTAATAAATATATAAGAGTAAGTAAAATAATACTCGAACGAATAAGCAAGAATTCCTAATATTGTGTATATAGGTGTGATAAGAAAACGAAATAACGAGATCGCGTTGATAACGAAACTGTATTGTAGTGATAATAGTCAAGTTAATGATAACATATCACGATACCTGACAGGCATCGGTGTCATCATTGTAAGCACATATCATCGATGTTGTCACGTGTTCGCCGAACGAAGTGTTCCTGCACCTTTCGTGAGACATAATTTTCAGAGTAGCCTGACGCAGAAATCTGGAGGCGTCGCCCTTAGTGGTGACACGTCCCCATCCGATAACTTGAGCATTGTGCCCCGTATAATCGGAACCTATCGTCGATATATTTCTATTAATTTTTCTTAGACTCATCAAAAATTACGATAAAAAAAGAGAGGAGGACAGAAACAAGAAAAGTATCTTCAATTCAAGTGCTCGTTAACACGTTGACTGCCAACTACGAGATATCTCGAAGGTTGTTTACTTGCCCAGGACGTCAACTACGAGTTATCTCGTCGCTTCATTACTTGATTAAATCAAATTGGCTTCTTAGACCAGAATCGTGAAAAGTTCCGTGGCAGTCAACGTGTTAAACGTGTCAAACGGAAAAAGACTACAAAAGGTAAACCTTTGTGCGGTAGGCAGACGGGTTTCACATTTTCATTGAATTGCACCGGGGCTTTCAATCGAATCAGTGCAATGTCGTTCGTATCGTGAATGTAATCACTCTCGAAGTCTTCATGTATAATCACTTTATCGACCTCAGCTAATATTCCTTCGTCCGCTCTCTCGATGTCGTGCATTCCCAAACCAAGTGAGAGATCGGCTTGACTCGTCCTGTGCGAAACGGAAAGAAACGTACAGGAATCGAAATAGTTCATCGCTACATGTGACGTGTGTTCGTCTTGTGAACAAAGAATATATTTAAATGATTTATTATTTCTATATATTATTCTGTAAAAACACGCGAGATTTGGTGAAATTTCGGTAGCGTCTGAATAAATTTTCTGAGAAGTTTTACGACGACAATTGTCACTCTTAATTGTCGTTGATGTAAGCAAGAATAGGTAGGATACCATCGAACGCAATGCCCAGCTGTGAGCACGTATCTGTTGTTGATCAAAGTGCCGCCGCAATGGAATTGATCCCCGTTGAATATCGCCACCACCCAAGGAAACAGGTGCGCTATTGTGATAATGCCACCGACGATACGATTCGATATTCCTCCCGATTCTCCGCACTCTGTCGCGAAAAGGGAAGGAGCAAATCGATTAAAAGTCCGATGTGCAATGCACACGTGAAAGTTGATAGAAAAGCGCATAACGTTATTATACGAACATTGCACACCTTTATGCAAATCGATTGCAAACTTTAGAATTGATATTCTCTCGGAAAATCTCATTCGAGCGTTATTATTCGCGTTATTATAACTTCGACGTTTCCATAGTCAACTTAGCACGTTGACTGTCACAATTATTCTCATTATTTTTAAATGTTCATTTTTATTGTGATTATCTCGAAAGTCTGAATTACGAAAATTATGGTAAATGCAATTCATTATGCATTTATTCGTTAACTCGTTTCATTTGACGTTCTCCTATTAATAAATCAAATTAAATTAAATTATATATATATTTGTTATATACAACTGGCACGTTTTATAATAAACGAGATTCGGCAATATTATAGCGCAGTTCACTGATAATCTCGTAGCAGTCAACGTGTTAATCTTTGAGCTTAAACGTAAGTGTGAAGTTGTATTTCGTAAAACTGATAGATAGACAAATTTAGTTAATTGAACTCGGAGTTGAACAATCACAATTTAATTTAGTTAATTGAATCAGAGCACGAGAAATGTTCTCGGAGAGTAATCGCCGAGGCACAAAGGCTGGAGTCGAATTAGTCGAATTGAAAAGAGAAGTTCGTTCTGATCGACGATCTAAAAGGAGATTGTTAATGTTATTGCCCGATCGCACGATTTTCGAGCGAGCTTCACGTTGCGCATGGCTACTTGCGTAAATTCCGCCTCGATCATTACCGCACTCCATATTCACTCGTACCACCAGCGGACGATTCGACGAGCATTCTGCCTGAAAATGAGCGCAACATAATTACAATCGGTGCGTCGTGTCGATTATCGGCCCATACGTCCGTGATAACTTTTTTAATTACTCTCTCAACGAACGTCTAGGATTAGCAGAAGAGCACCGATGGCCAGGCTCAGTCGCGGCTTCATGCTTGCACGAGACTTTCTATCCGCTTTTTTTCCACCTACTGAAAACGGAGCGCGGCGGTGACTGACTACGACGTCGTGAGCACGTTAAACTATGTACTTGTAGCCGTGAGTATAACAACGAGAATCAATTCCGACGCCGTAGTTTCACGTCACTCGTATCGCCTTGTCGACGTATAATAACGCGAGAACCGTGAACCAATAAAACCGCTATTCCCATTAAAGCACGGCACATCTCACGGCAAATTCTACCGTATCATCAGCCTGATCGGCAAGCCACGAAAAGAAGTCTGACTCTCTGTAACTCAAATCAGCGGTGGAAGAGAAAGATTCTCGTAGGTCTTTAAGAATGTATTGCCCATTAATGCTGCATGTAATTTTTTTATAATTTTGTCATTATTTTGACTTAGAGACGATCCTTTAAAAAATTTCACCGCGGAAGCTTTCGCAGCGTATTTTGCGCTTATCGATGATACAATTTCGCAGTTAATTAATGTCCTTCCTATGCATATCCGGTAGTTGAAATTTTCTTGAAAAATTGCGTATTGGCACATTCGTTTGCGTAGGGTTCGCAGATTTTACGGTCGCCGCTTGCTCACCCTCGAAAGCGTTATATATTGCTCGCGAAACTGCGGAAACGTGTTACGAAGGTATGGCCGATAAATTCCTAGGGCTTCTCCTACAGGCGATTGTGCCCGTTGTCAAAGTCAGTGCGCAAAAAAGAAAGATGGAGATTTAAAAGCCCGTGCACACGCGCGTGAAAAGGGGAGGATCGGAGAACAGCCGCCTCTTCTCCGTAACTCCTGGACTCATGATGCGACGAGTTTGCATACGTACGAGCGATCTCGCGAACAGTAGCGAAAAGTGACGTTGCGACTCACGGTGAATGAATGTTGCAATTCGCGTTGCAACGGGCATTATGATCGTCAACGTAGGTAGCTTCGACGTGAGCATCTTGAGTGAACGGGTTTATCGAACAGCGAGTCATCGTTCTTTTACCTCGGCCCAGATGCCCACGGACGTCGACACGGCAGATATCATATCGTGGACACCGGTGGTCAGGTATATCTGAGAGTTGCAATTTACGAGTTTGGATAACACACAATGTGGTCGTCGAGGCCTTGGTTTTATGCGGCACGGCAACGCCGATAGCCCTTCGACGTGTCGTCGAAGGGCCATCAACACCTGCGCTCAAGTGTGCGAGGGATTCGCAAGAACAGATAAGAGAGAATCTAGGTTTACCGTTTGCGAAGCAAACAGCGAAAACGGAGCTCGTTTATTTCGTCGTTAAATACGCTCGTTCACAGCTTTCACGGTGACCGTCGCAAAAGCAGGATCGCGCGAGGAGATTATCAGCGCCAACAATATCTGGAGTCGCGTTTCGTTATCTGCAATATCCACGAGACCATTCGCGAGACGTCCGTGTAGAAATCCGGGGTGTTCACGTCGGCGCATAAATATCCGTTCGAAGTGATCCCTGCAAAATAGGTTTTGTTAATTTTCCGCCGGTCGTCCGATCACCCAATCTGCGTCTCGCACTACTGACCTATTAGGATGTGTTTATAATTCTCGCTTACTAACTGAAGAGGACCGCCGCTATCGCCCTGAATTTCAACTGTGATTAATCTCACGTATAATTTTCGGATGACCCGGTATTAACAAAAATTCGAAAACCCACGCGTATATAAAAGAAAATGTTGCAATTGCTTATTTACCCCACAAGTCCCGCGCGGTACCGTCATATGACCAGCGCAGATTAAACTCGATACCTTGGTAGGACATTCTTTTCTCTTAAACAACGTTAAATCGGCGACACGTAGGCCACAATTGTTATTATATAAAGAGTTATCCTCTGAGAATCCCCAGCCAAGTGCTGATAAAGAATGCCCTCCGAATTTGGAGACTACGTCTAGTCCTATGTGCGGATAATTATAAGCAAATATTAATAATTTCGTTTAGTATTTGTCAAGAAATGCATTTGTGAGATAAATTATCGTGATTACCAGATTTTGGCAAACAAATTGGCTTGACGTATTGGTTGAAGGTAATCCTCATCATCAATTTGACCAGCATAATATCAGCGAAGTTCGTTTGTCTGTCATAACTCGGATGCGGGAAAATCTCCTCAACAGAAAAGATTGTAGTTGTTTCGTCCCACTGGCACGAACTGTGAGTGCCGACAGATACTTTCAGATCATCTTTATCGAAACTGTAGGATGTGAATTTGTCTTTAGTCGTTCTTACAACTTAAGAGCTGAATGTATAGATCTATTAAATATGAGGAGAAAAGATTTTTACGTACATACAATGTATACATACCCAAAAGGGATGCAGTGAGCCGCTGTTATCACGTAACGATCGTTTATAACTGACGCTCCGCATATATGTTGACCTGATCTGTTGACGCTTATGATACTGGCCATCCAAGGAAATTCATTTCTATAAGCTTCCCTTCCCCCAATTATTCTAGACGCTGGCCGAAATAGGTCTTTTCTACCGCATTCTAAAGCATGATAATCGTATGAATAATATCTTCATGACAATTACACAGATGCACGATGTCGATACTAATATTAACAGCTTTTATATTAAAACGACACATGACGATATTGAATGTTCAGCAAAAAAAAATCTATTATTCTTGTGTCCTTTCGACGACTCAGTCATGGAACAAATCTTACCACATCCATAATTAGCATCTACGTGATACGTATCCGTTGGCTGATTCCCTCGGTTTCGCGGCCAAGCGTTTGCGCATCCAAGTATCAAAAACGATAAACTGATTAACATAAAGTACTGCATGTGTAATGTTGAAGGAGCACTCGCGACTTCTACGCTAAGGCGTGTCTCACTGAACTGACACATGTGACACTAACATATTTTATAGGTTGACATCCATGTGCATAAGGAAACTACCGTGAATTGCGGACGTGGTTTACGTTAATAATACTTAGATAAGATAAGGTTAACAACTGTCCTTTTTTCTAAACGTCACCTAAAACGTCATTTGAAAGAACGTCATGTGAAAACGAACGTCATGTGAAAATGATATTAGAAAATTGTTAAATAAGGCTTGCACAATTTAAGCGTGTGATTTCTGGTCTAAATTTTGAGTTTAGATATTCAAGTAAACATACTGCGATTCGTGCTTTACGGCGTCAAAATTTTCTTATTTAAAAAAAAAGCTATGTACTCTGATTATATTAATGTAAAATAATTTATTTTTATATATGTGCGCATAAATATAATATAATAATTGTGATTATTATATACACATGTGTGGCACATTTTTGGTTTGTTGCAACTCGGCAATAAAGACTATTTCGCGTGCTTTCTAAAATGTAGCGGTGGAGATAATAATAACAATGAATAACAATGAATACTTCGATATTAGATAATAATATTCTGGCAACATTATCGCGGGATCGATTGTTATCATTTTGTACAGTAACACGCATCTTTAGTGTGCTGTAGTATCCAATCAAGTCGAGACCCCACTCTCGTAAAGACAGTTGGTCCAGGAGTATTGTCGCATTTATTCACGTTTGGAATAATACCTGTAATGCACAGTACATTTTATCAATAATATATATTTTGTCAAATTAAAAAATTTTTTTAATTTCTAGATGAGAAATGTTTTCTTCCTTTTTTTTTTTAAATTATTTGTGATGTTTACTATACGAGTATCTTTACAAATACATCGTCATCATTGTACCTCTCAATATAAATTCGATATATTATATTTGCATTTTAATATTTGTTATTTGTATAAGTTAGCTACAGTTGACGAATGGCCGTACTTACCAATGAGGTCATAAATTCCAGCGTATGAACGATATTGCAAAGAAGATCCGACGTCATTCTGTAAGTGAGTAACACTTTTAATATGATACATAATTGAATAATTATTAAATTATTAAATCGTCCACGTTTCGTAATAAATTTATCGCAATGTATGAAAATTATTGCATTTAAACAGAGAGAAAAAATTTAAATAGAATATTTCAGAATAGTACAAATATAAAATGTTTAATACAGAGAGAAAAAATTTAAATAGAATATTTCAGAATAGTACAAATATAAAGATGTTATATAATTTTTTATGACATTTCGCGTGGCTTATTAAATTGATATGCACATAGTTCAAAACTGTAATACGATACACGTATAATTCTCTTACCTCGCACACAAGAGAATTTGTACCAACAATGCCAATGCATCCGTAATCGTCGTTAAAATTCATCGAATTTATTCCTGACTTAATACATTCGTTATATCCTAAAATAGGAAGTCCCAGTTTTCGCGGTCTACACGTTCGAATGTCGCCGCTGTCGTTGAGTTTGCGTACGGTCCAACCTACTAAAGTGCCAACTTGGCCAAGATAGGTCGATCCTAATAATATAAAAAATAGATTTGAGTGTATAATTCCCCGGGATCTCATAAGCCACTCTTTCTTTCTTTTGCCATCGTTAACTCGCACTGTGCGTCACGAAAACAGACCTGGGTTGGGTAGGCATATCGGTGATATCCTCTTCTCGAATTTGGTCGGCCGACTTAGACGAATTAAAGCCAAATCCTGAGAATGTGCATCCGGATTGAACTCTGGATGCAAAATTATGGATTCGACACTAATATTCACCGACGAAATGTCAAACGTACATCGGTCGTATTCTCCCAAAGATACTTTTATTTCTGGTGCGGTTGCTCTGTTAAGAGGGACGTTAATTGTATTTTGAATGTCAAGAAAAAAAAAACACGATTATTAAAGAAACGATATTGAAGATTATAATCAGCACAATATTCAGTAACAGCGACTACCACATGAAAGCATCCGTGGAATCGACGTGGAATCGACTTACTTACATGGATTCCACGTCGGTTACACGTGGATGTTCTCATCAGGTAAAACTTCATTAATATGTACTAACCCAACTAGCTCGCTAGCTGCTGTCATGACGTAACGATCGTTTATCAGCACTCCGCTAACTAATAATCCGGAGCTTGTGTGAATATTAGCGAGCCAGGGGAACTCGTGGGATTCCGTATTCTCACCGCCCAATAATCGCGCTGCTTTACGATTTGTTCTGCCGCATACTGCAAAAAATATCTCATGACTTGATTAGAGTTTAATACAATATATTTAATTATAAGCTATTAGAGCAACAGAGTTTCTTAAATTCACGGTTTTTCCACCGAAGATGATCCGGGTAAGGACCGAAACGTCTGGATGTTTATAATATTATTATTAACTATTGTTATTAACGTCAATGCAACTTAATACAGACATGTGATTTATATAAACTAAAAATTGATTAAAGATGTAGCACTAAAAGATCCGTGCTTGGCCCTTGTTACTCTTAATATTTATTAAAAATTACTTACAGCAGGCGCCACAAGTCCGGAATCTCCCGAAAAGCAAGTCCAGAACGCCGCGTTCATGTCTGAGGCCAGCCCAATTTTCTATCTGGTTCGCAAAGATATTTATAAATGTTTATACATTTACGATTCTCTTTTTGATTCTAATAGTAATTTTTATTTTTTCGAGTTCTCTTCCGCGAGAAAGATATTCGTTCGGAATGAAAATTGATTTATCCATATTCTCGAGAGAGAAATTCTGAAAACAGCTTATAATAGTAATAATCGTGAAGTAAATTAATATATAAGGTGGAAGATAAGGCAAACACTTACGGAAGAATCGATGACGTTGCAGTGAGTTGTCCCCAAATTTATCGCCGAGATGCAAACAAGGTATTTAACGAAGTCTTGCAGCTTCATGACTTTACTGTCGGTAGTCGAAGCGGTACTGGTCTCGTTTAAGCAACTTGTTTGTCTCGCATAGCGGTACTATCGTCGCCCGCATCCCAGGAACCTCCCAACATCGTAAATAAAGAACGAGCGTCCCATGTTCGCACCCAACTTCGTATTCGCTTTGTACGTTTCATTTTGGTCTGAAGCGCGGTAGTAACCGGTCTGTCGATACCGTTAAACGTTTCCCGGTATCGCGAAATCCTTTTGATTGCCGGCAGCACGAGATTTAAGAATAAATTTTGCACAAGTGATATAAATTTTTGCATCTATCTTCTTTGAGATATCATTTAACACTTTTAATATTTATAATGAGATTCATGATCACTACGCTTTTAGCATTGTAAAAAGAAGTCGCATTTTGTAGAGATGTGACAAATAATGTTTATAAAACTTTAAAAGCTTTTTATAAAATTCTAATAAAAAATTAAACAACACTGCAGAAACTTATATTCGTGAAATAAGTTCTATTTTTTTATCTTATATCTTTAGTGATATTTATGAATACTCTCACCAGTCCATCCGAAGTATCAGCGAAATGAAAACGTCAGCAAAATACGAGTCGTGGGAACGACTCGTGAATATTCAGTATCAGGATTTGCCAAAACAGCAGATATGTAAAAGCATTTCGTGATTCGCATGCAAATTTTTATTAAGTATTTTTCCTATATAAAAAGTACCGTAACAATAAACATTTCTTTATAAAAAAGTATGACACCGATAGCTTAAGTCTATAATCTCGATCTCACTATATGTAATTTGATTGATTTTCTCCACAGTGAAAAATTAAGTATCTTAGCCTTTGGCTATTTTTTTCGCAATTTGAGCGAAATATTGTATGGTGCATTATTCATTCCGTAAACTTTCTTTTCTCAACGACCTAACAATCTTACGATATATTTCTTCGCGACGTTGTTTCTCTCGACAGGTTTTTTATCCACTGCTGTTCTATCGTTTAACAGATATTAAATAACAGAAGACATAATAACACAATGTACTTAATAATAATAAATTGATATTGTACGAAAACTCATATCAAATATTCTCGACAAATTTACGTCGGTCGGTCGCAAATCCGGACACGATATCACTCTAGTCGCTAAACTTACGGCGCGATTTCAGAACGTATTTTACAACAGTACGTACAAACAATCTCTGTGCTCTGTCATATGTCCAACTACGTGGCAGCCTATAATCACATTCAGTTATGCTCGCAGAAGCAACCGTCCTTTGAATTCTTCAAGATCCAATCCATGTAACGCGTGACTCTCGTGTATACACCTGGATATCCAGGTCGCGCACAGCCATTACCCCAGGACACGACGCCAATGAGTTCGTACTTTTTATCTTCGCGCTCCGCTATCAGAGGTCCTCCACTATCTCCCTGTAATATAAAAAAAAAACTCGCATTACTTACTGTGCATTTGCCTTAATAATGCACAGTACATAACACATCGTAATCGTGTCGTTAGACTGTAAAATTAGAAGGATGTACTATTTCTGTTCTACATAATATATGATTATTAATATCATATAGATATCATATAGAGTAAACAATGTTCTGTTGAAAGCGGTTCACTGAAATGTATGTTACTTTAACATCGGTATTGAAAAATACACAAATATAATACTAAATTCACCTTATTAACATAGTTAAAATTTTGAAATATTCACCTTGTTAAAGTAACATCAAACTTCAGTGGACCGTTTTTAACACAAGATTTTTTACTATACGTATTGCACATAATAATATTGATATTAATCCATCGTAATATCTTTTCAGCAACTTTTATCATAATTACATTTCCCGTTTCAATTTTGCTATGAACGTACATGGCAAAGATGACAAGTTCGTTACCTGACACGAGTCCTTTTTTCCTTCCGGATAACCCGCACATAACATATTGTCCGAGATCATTCGAGGACTGTAGCTGGTGTTGCGGCAATCCTGAAGGCTCATGACAGGTAGTTCCACTTCCTGGAGAAGGCAGGACGGTTTGCCGTCCTCCTGCAGCGTACCCCAACCCGACGCGACCGCGTTTGTCCCTTCGTACTGTTTATCTGAAATGTAATTTCACGTCGTGCGCTAAGACAAATGCACGGTGGCGAAAGGGCAGCCGGCTGCAAGTTGTGAAATATTTGCTCAGATCATTTGTTCGGTTGTATAATGTAATCGTATGCATATACGATATATTTCTGGAGTCTGTTGTGTACGTTATCGGTGCGCGAGTACACGTATATCGCGAACGAACAGCGCTCACGAATGTGTCGCGTCGCGACGCGTTAACAAATTCAGGGGGGATTATCGCGTGCGCTCGAAATGCAAATTTAAGTCCTCAATTTCAGAGAAATCTTCTTTATTACGCAGTTATGCACCGCAACGGTGCATTACACCCGACCCGACGGTAGGTACCCGTATACCCGACTGATTTATGACTCGGCTATCGCATAATCGTCACGTAATGAGCAACACGACGATTAGTCGCGGATCGCGCATGGAGTATTGTCCAATATTACGCTTGATCATGAGAAACTGCATCGGCCAAAATTTATGATCGCGGACACGCCAATTGAATATCATTCAGGCCTGAAATTGTGAACGATAAATGTCGAAAGTGGACTCGGCAATTCGTCATTCTTAAGATAAAGTCCACAATGGACACGTGATAGACGAAAGCGGGTCGCCATAATTTAAGATAGTTGTAGCACAAAATGAATTTTTTCAGAATTCGTTGAAACTCGAATATATATACATTTAAATGTGACCGAATTATAAGTAGATCGATTATTTCGAAAGCTGATATATTCATTCGGAGATATTTGTATCTGAAGATGACACTTTTTATACGTATTCCTTGAGATTAATGTCCTATTTTTAACTTCTATTTTTAATTTCTTCTAAACCACATCTAGGCTTTTAATGAAAAACTACTACTGTGATATTAAGAACCGGCATAGAGAGATGGTACATAAAAATTTTAGAATTATGGACCAATTATTTTTTCAATCGCACGATTTACTGGAGTCGTATCTCATTATACGTCTGTAGATAAAGATGAGGAGAAAAATACTAGGCACTTACCTAACATCGATGGCAAGCAAATCGGCCGTATCGTGTCGCTCAATGGTATTCTTTCATTCAGACGGAGGAGCGCAATGTCATTGTCGAAATTTAGGAAGCTGAAATCACCGGTCATGACGCGCACCACGTATCTGGTTTCCGCCCCTTTCTCAATACATCTGTCGTGTTCGCCGAAAGTGACTTTAATCATGAACCACATGAATCTGAAAATAAGACTAGAAGAACCGATCACGTTCGCCTGACAAGCGAGCTTGCGATGAAAAATCAATGAAAATGAATGGATGGAAAGAAATCAGTCGATTTGATCATCCTTTCATTTAATCATTAATTTGCTATCGTGCTAATTCGATAATACGTTATGAAGTTCCTTGTATCAAAAATATGAGACGGGAGCGAACTTGTAACAAGTTCTTCAACAAATTATCTATACCACTACAGCAAGGTCTTAAATAATTTATACTAACTGATGAGATAACATGCAAGTAACTTCAAAACGATAAATTATTCGTGTAGATAATTAAAAATTCTAATCGTTAATATGAGGTCATTTAGTATTCTTTGAACGTAGTGGGGTTAACGGCACCGAGCATTTTCTTCGTAACATGATACTAATTGAGAATGCAAATATGAAGTTCGACCTGTTTGCCTATCTAGTAGATGATATCAACAGCACGAGTAACGATATAGCACGAATAACGAGTAAGATATTATGCTTATACAGTTATACTAATTGACCATGGAAAGCTAGCCTCAGTGTATTCACTTACTTCGTATATTTTATATGGAATTCAATTTTGGAAATATATAATTTCCGTAACACTCGTTAAGTGTGAAATAGAATTTACTCGTTCGAGTTTCAGGAATGTTTCGGCTCAGAGAAAATCGTTAAACGATTAAATATCAAAAAGGACTTTTACGACATATGTCATACAACAATTAGGGCTAAGGTCATTAATAAAAAATATTAATTTCACCCTTAATGTGCGAAATACTTCGAAGCTGTACTTACCCTTTCACACAGTGCGCGGCCGTGAGCACGTAGCGATCGTTTATAAGCGTGCCTCCGCAATAAAACTTGTTTAGGTACGATAATCTAGCCATCCATGGAAACTCATTCATACTCGTCGTCTGGCCTCCGACTATACGACTTTCCTCGTTCCGTAGTCCGCAACCTAGATAGCATCGGTTGTTGTGTAGTATACTTTTTTTCTCGGCGCTAACCGCTACTCTCGATGAAGATAAGCCCGACAATATGATCATTAAAGTTACTCACTACAGTAGCAAGGCGCAGGTGGCTCATCGGAGGAAGGCGGCTTATTGCCGAAGAGTCCGAAGAAATTTTTCATTTTGTCACCGAATACGCCGGCCTGAGATCAAAGTGACTACGTAATTAACGATCGCTCTCTTTGTGTATTTTATTAATAAAATAATATTTTACAAAGTAATAGACACTTCTGTATTTTCATGTGATGTAGCTTTTATTTGAATAGATAATTTCGTCGTAAACAATATCGAGTGAGTTTTATTGAATACTTTTATTAAAAAGTATTAGAACAATGTTCCGCCATTTAATTTTGTAAAATATATCGCTATTACAAAAAATGCTATCGCTATTACAAAAAAACGAAACTAACCGAAGCTAATTTAATAAAAATTCTAACAGTGTTTGTTCATAAAACTCTAACGCTCACATTTTATAAAGTTCCGCAGAAATGTCTTGGCTAAAGAGATATTATAATGCGATGCATGTCACACGCGAAAATCAATGGAAGAAAGTGCACGGGAAAACTCGATTCTTACCTGACATTTTTCCGTTGTCGAAAGCAGAATAAACAGTAAACCCAAGTAGCACAGACTCTTCATGTTTCTTCCGTGATTCGATGAAACTTTTTAACGTCGATAATTATACACTTTTGACACGGATTCAGTTTCTCTAGATATTTTGAGTGATGGAGTCGCCACGCGGTGGCACCGTCAGGAACGGATCATGAACATGTCCCTGACTGAGAGTGACTATCGCCAGTGTCCTACGACGACTGAGGAGGACTGAGGTCGAAGAGGTAATTGCTATTCCGGAAGGGAAGGAGGGTACAGCCGACCGGCTGATACCTGACCAGTTCACATTCAGGGTCGAATCACGGATGACTGTTATTGACCGTCACCAGGGTCACCGAAAAATTATCATATTAAGAGAATCCTGTCGATATTATATTTCTGTTTTGGACAATCTTGCTGTTATAATGGAACTCGAAAAGAACTTCCTCACACTTCTTTCTTTGGTAGTTTATTAACACTAGCTGTCATCAATAAAAAGAGAGACCATGCAATAATTAAAAAATAAACCGAATATTTATTCTTCTTCAATATAAAAAACACGTTTTACCCAATTATATATTAAAAAGAGATCTTTATAAATTTGGTTGTGTTTCTTAGTGAAAACGATAAGTAAATCAACAAAACTAAATATGAACCAGGCTATTTGAAATGATAATCTGTAAAGAAGCTTCTTTGAATATTTATTTAAAGTGATGGAAAATATACTTTCAGGAAATGTATCGATAAATGCGTAACGCACATTCCAAGGTGCAGATGAGAGCGCATGATGCAGGAAGAGAGCAGGAGGAGAGGAAGGAAAGGTCATATATGTGGACGTTCATCTGTATCTTTTTATATGCACATACGCGGTTGATGCGTCATCCGGTACCGTTCGGCCAGAAATTCAGCCGCGGACTATACGTATTAACCACAGTCGCGACAATCAAGTTGCTTATGGAGAACGTAATACCGCTGGTGTAATTATTAAATCTTTGTGTATTTTCACTTCCGATGAAAATGTATGGAATCCTCTGGAACATGCATTTTTGGTGGAATTAATTAGCAACCGGCTGCACCGATCTTGTTATCTCGTGCCCACGGCAAGTTATTTCCTAGAACCGAGTTTCGGCTGAAGAAACAGGTTTTGCAACGGCATAAATTACATTAGTCATCATTAACGACCTGCACTTTTACAAAACAGCAAAAAAATCCGCCAGCCAATAAAACGGCGATATTAAGAATTCGAGCTCCTCCGATTTATAATCGGCGCCATCACAAAAACGTCTATCACTGGAGTGAAATTTGTAAATGTTGGAAGAGAGTGATAAATTGACATGCATTATCACTCAAAATTTATGTACTTTTAAAGATTCTTTTACATTATTGTCGTATATACTACATACGATAATCAATTAACGATCGGTTACCATAAACTACATTGTTTTCTATTATTTACATACTAATTAGAACGGACATGCATAATTCCGAAAAATCAAAATACTGAAATTTGAAAAGCGGAACAATATCCCAGATACAACAAAAGTTACAAACTAAAAACTGAAAACATGCGATTATCCCGAAAAGTCACAATCCCGAAAACTGAATATCGAGACAATCTCCCGAAATATTGGAGGAAATTATAACTTTGCGAAACAACTTAATTTTTTTCTAATATTTCAGGATATCGTCCTGATATTCACTTTTCAGGACTGTGACTTTTCGGGACATGGTCCTACTTTTTGAATTTCGATATTTTCTTTTCGGGAATAAGCATATTTATTCTAATTAGGCGCGACAAAGACGCTTTTGCGCACGGAATATGCGCGCGCGTTGACTTCAGCCCGGTTTGACAGTAAACCGTTATCGGTCGCTGATTATTCCGGAAACGTTCGACCGCTATTCGTACGTGGCCGACGGTGCGCGATGGAAACCTGCGACGCGAATTTTAACCATAGTTGTGCTCTAAATTGTGTACCTGGATTGCAAAAACAAAGTTGCCACACGTTTCTCATACCGTCCACTTTACGTAGTCAAGCTGCGGCTAACATTAACGCTAACATTAATAATGGCCACTATGCAAGGAACTATGCTTAATTATATATATTAGAACGATCGATCACTAAGTAAATTTCCTTTTTTTTTCATATAAATAATAACATGAAAAAACGTGTGGTCACGACAGTCAACCGTAATCGCGCGGTGTGTTCCTTTAAGCTTCATACACAAAGTGGAGACGAAAACAGGCCCTCAATTGGCGCACAAACAGCCGTCCTTCATGTTTGCGTGGATCCATTTGAGATACCGGGATACTCTTGTGTAAACCCCGGGGTAGCCAGGTTTTCCACATCCGACACCCCAGGACACGATACCTGTCGGACACGTGTATAAGTTTTTCTTTCTCCCTCCCTCTTTCTCTCGTGCGGTGAAAACATGTTACGACAATGTTTCTAATTATTATTCTTCTAATTATTATTCTCCAAACACAAGGGTTTTTTCTACGATGACTTTGTCCGGAGTATTTGAAGAAAAACAGGTTTGCGCAACGTTTAACGTGCACGTGTGTTTACCTGCTATTTCAAGTTTATCGGCTTCCTGGACAAGAAGCGGACCGCCACTGTCTCCTTGACAGGAATCTTGGCCACCTCGACCGGCGCAGATCATATTGTCAGTGATCCGATTCGCCCGGTACTTCATCTTTCGGCATTGCGACAAACTATATATCGGCACTTGTACTTCGTGCACCTTCGCGGGCAACATGCCTCCTTCCGACGTCCGACCCCATCCCACCACCGTCCCTTCTTTCCCGGCGGGATCAGTATCTATGAAAACGTGTATCGATAATACAACGTACGTGGACGTCATTGTGCGGAGTGTAATCGCGGTTGATCATGTCGTTGATGTACCTGGTTGAGGTAGGCAGACCGGGCGGACCTTCTTCGAGAACTTGACGGATTTACGGAGTCTCAACAACGCTACGTCGTGATTGAAGGAACTTATGTCGAAGTTCCGGTGACGTATCACAGCGCTCACCGCTCTCATTACGGCGACTCCGTCGGTATTCACGTATTGATCGTAATCACCGAGTACTATGCGGATCTTTGACCGCTTCAGTCTAGGGTGTTGAAATTCATTTAATATCATTATCTGTCGCAACTAATGAAACGTATCCGATACGATTGAAGCGTCGATGAAATGGGTCGTTATAATGTTTAAAATTATGTTACAGATTTGAAACGTGCAAAAGGGAGAGTATTATGAGCGCGATATATCGCTTCAATGTTCGGATACTCCAAATTTGGATTGCAGTATTGCTTTACTACTATTTTTTTCACTTTTACCTAGCGTTATAATCTTACGTATAACTTTACGAATAAAGATGTACCTCCGTAAGCAATGGGCAGCTGTAATTACATAATCATTGTTGAGCAGACTAGCGCCGCAGTGAAAACGACCGTCGTACACAATCCTCGCGACCCAAGGATATCTGTTCGGTATGGTAGGACGTCCACCGACAATTCGATTCTCTTGGTTGGATAAGCCGCATTCTAGAATCAACGCTGTATTTAATTTTTGATAAAATTTCGTGACTTATGAGCTTATTCGAGAAAGGACGAATAATATTGCGAATAATAAACGGGAAAAATAATTGACCGATTGCACGATCATAATTTATTTACTATGGATTTATAAAAAAAATGTTTATGTCTCATGAATAATTAATGATGAATAATCGTCATGTACAGTAAAAAATTTTGTATTAAAAACGATCCACCGAAATTTTACTTTAACATGGGGAATGTGTTAATTTAACATTACATTTGCGTACTTTTTAACACATGCCCCATGTTAAAGTAACACCAAATTTCAGTGGACCGCTTTTAACGCAAAATTTTTTACTGCATATGTGAGAAATAATTATTTGTTGTAGAAAAGAAAACATTTTACCACATGTGCAATTTCTCAGCCTCTCCTCGTCCACGTCAGCGCTGCTCGTGATATCGATGCCGAATAAATCGTCGAACAAAAATCTCCCTTTACGAGCTTGCGAATCGCTCGCTTCCTGAAAGAAAGATGTGCAACTGATTGGCGCCGTGCGGCAAGCGCACTCACTTTCCACCGCAAATACGACATAAACGACGGGAGAAAGTAACCATGAGCAGAATTATGGGTCAAGGTCTGGATGGTTAAATTGTCCTCTGGTATTGACTAACTAAATATCTCGTGCGCGTAAGCGTTGCGTGCACACGGTATTTAGGTGAATCTTTTAATGCCGATGAATGATTGATTGCGATTATCACTTATAATAGGATAAAGGAATTCACGTCCCGCAGCTCGTTCACCAAATGGTTTCTGTGTCATCGAACGTTTGTGATCGATTGACTCCGTACGTCGGATAAAGTATTATTATGTAGCCACTTTCCTTTATGTGAGTTTTATATGCTGTTATTACTGTCATTGATCCCGCGACAGATTTTATTCAAAAAGAACGAGAGAGGGACACATCTTCTAATAAATATATTTATCGATGAAACTTGAATCTCTCAGAAGTTAAACAACTTACTTGGCTTTTCTTTAATTTTAAAAAGTTAAGTATATACATTAATCATGTACTAATTCTAATATTAAACTGAAACTAAATTCACAAAAAAATGGAGTCGGTCAATTTGGCTCGTCAGAAATTTAATTATAATATTTATTTACGAATAATATGTGAACAGGGCATAATATATAAAATTATAAATAATATATTAAATAATATATGAACAATGTATCGTTATTTAGTATCTCAAATGTGACAAGAAACTACATTGTTGAGGTTTCCTTTCAGATTCTGGGTTCAAATCGAATTTATTACGTGACAGTTTGGTGTCATCGGAGAACCGATACTCACAGTAGAGCCACCTGGCGCAATCGCGCTAAATCGAAATCCATAGCTGCTGTTCGGTACCGATACGTGAAAGATCACGATCAGGGTCAGGATCAAGGTGTCACCTCGACACGTGTGCAGCGACATTTTCCCATTCGCTCGTTCGCGCTGCGCGAGTGCCGTTCAATTAGCGGGAATCACAGATACGATTCTTCTGTCACATCGATGGAACATCACCGTACACCACGCGTTTCTTTGGATTCCACGGCAAACAGTCATGATATATCGCGCTTGCCAACGAACACTCGGCGACGATGTCGTGCTCTAACCGTCCGGCCGATCGCACGACCGGACTGACCTCCTCTTCGTCACCGTGAATGAATTTCACGGACGAGGCTATGCCGGGATGATCTGCGGAAGATCACTCGGTCGCTCGGTGCTCGGTACGCGCTTTCACCTTGGTTCCACAAAGAAGTCGAACTGATCAACCGGGAGTCAGCCAGTCTTTATGGTGGCGAAGAAAGTTCTTCTTTCACTGTCGCGCTGCCACCGTCGCCACCATCGTCCCATTCAGTACGCACGCTAGAAACGTGGTGGATTCTCTCAATTTGGAATCGGCCGAATGGCCGCGCGTCTTCCTCCTCGCGTAAGAATGCGCAGCACGCACGCCTTCCGGAGCTTTCGCTGTATGCAACATCGTACTTTTCTACTGTGATTTAACAGTTTTCTCGGCTCGCGACTAACCTATGCGATTATGTGTGTTATTAGGATTTTATGACGTAGGGATTTATCGACAGTCGGCAGAGAGAGAGAGAGAGAATATGCAGTTGTCATTCTGTCTATATTATATTATCTTATATTTATAATATAACGACGTTTCTTTAATCCACTATCATTTTAAATTCAATTGGAAGCGGAATATAATAAAAGTTACACTTTGCACATAGTGTTTCGATATAATATAATGAATCATATACTTTTGTCCTCGCAAATTATTTGTCTCTCACCAGCAAAATTCAAAAAGAAATTCATATTATTTCAAACACAATAGGTCGTGTGAATGAATTTTATTCCGTGTGTTTGACATATTTGTTCACATAAAATCACTTTCTCGTCTGTATAAACCTAACGCCATCGAGTTTATGTTATATTAATTTTAATGGATGATATTTTTAGACGTTATTTGGTTTTCCTCATAATTATCAAGATGCATAAAGCTCTTTTCTCTTTTCATTACACATATTTATTACATGTACTTAAATTAAGGAAGAACTCGGCTCTTATAACGGTTCGTAAGTTTCACTAACCCACATTCGTCGTTGAAAGCAAAACGTCTCGGATTGTTGACCTGGTTTTGCTTGTTGTTCATTTGCGTAAACACTCAAATACCGTCGTAGTCATCAGATATTTTCCTTTACTATAATTTTTCTTATGCAACATATTAGTCGTTATTTACATTTCCGTTGTTCTCTCGTTCTTGACGTAACGCAAGGTTAGGATAAGAACTGATTAATACATATTAAATCATACAATAACTACAAACTTATTCCCGGACAATAGTTAACGTATCTTATGTTATATATTGTTAATGTTTCATGCAGCGATAATTCTGCGTGTGCGATCTTTCTTTGCATAGATTATTAAAACTCGATACATATCTAATATGACCGTTTGCTCCTTATTATTTTGTCGTCTTTTAAAAATTATTTTTTTTTTCATAAATTCGTTCTCGACTTCCTTGTTAAATTCTGTCCTCAGTTTTTGCGGCATGTAATCCAAAAACGACATGTAGGACATTACCATAGCTGTCAAAATAATCAGACTTGTTAATATATATAATCCAAATTTAAATAAATTAGATATGGATGAAGGATGCAGAAAGAAAATTTATTATACGAATTGTAATAATTTTCCAATCGAAAATGAAGTTTTCTGCGAGCGGTGCATGCTCAGAGAAAAAAAATTTGTCGGCGGCCAGGTCACTTATTCATCTCTGAACCGTGTTCGACGCTGCTTAACCTCGATGATCGGACAGTTAGCACTGATTTCAATGACCCTAACCATGTCTTTATGCTTATGCTTATATTTCTTTATGATTCTATAACTAAAATTTCGACTCGGGGAAGCATTCACGAAGCGAACAATTACGTATCAAGATAACGTGCGGGAAACTTGCGGGAAATTTTTAATTTCTGCAAAGCAGTAAATAAACGTTCAGAAAACTATCTTTCAGATCAGCCTGAATGATCCAACGGATGATAATCAGCTTCCTTCTAACTCACTGGATACTTATCGCTTCTTCTTCGATTTTTTATATCTTCGATATAAGATTTAATTTTCCGCATGTGATTGTATTAATGTTATTAATATACTTACACAGAAATTTGTGCAAATCTGTATGCATATTGGTTATTTCCCGATAACTACAATGAAGAATATGGAAACCGACATCTTTAACCATTTTTCTTAACTCTTTTTGAGGCTTGGTTGAATGATGAAATGGCGACACAAGATTTTTCTTGTCCTTTGTAAATGCGAAAATAATAATTAATAACGTGTAATTAAGAGTAATTGAAAATTAGTAAGGTATACAAGTGTAAAATATTCACCGGCATGTAGAAAGCATAGCGGGGATTTTGCGATAGTGGAATGAAAACATCAAATAAATCATGAGAAGCTACCAAATTCACAAACATGGTTCCACCGGGTTGAAGCATCTCGTAGATGTTATTAAATGCTTGTCTATTGAACAAAGAAAATAGACGAAATTCAAAAACACACATTTATCATAGTAGTCCTAAGCAAGAAAGTAATTCGTGTGCAAATGATTTTGAATGAATAATGAATTTTGATTAAATATCAGATTACCGTGTATATTATATCTTCGGATGGACATAAATTGCCCCCAAAAATTTACTGAAATTCGAACTACAGAACAATATTCCGAAAAGTCTTAATCGTGAAATTCGAAAACCAAATCAATTTCGCAAAAACACAATTTTCCCGAAATATTGGAAATATGCAGTGTCCCAAAATTCTATAAACCTAAAATTCATATAGCAAAATATTTAAATTTCGGGATTATGACATTTCGGAACATTACTTCATGCTTTAGATTTCAAGACATCGATTTCAAGATAGTTTTTTTTTAGAACAATGCATTTCCATCTATTTTCATTTTTGACGTTATTAAATTAACTGCTTGAAAGTATTTCTCACCGTATATTGCTGCACCAATTTAAAGCGTGAAATGAGAATATATTATTGAATTCGGAAATATATTTCGTGGGAAGACATTTAGTCTGAACATCCAATACTTCAAATACGATTCGCGCGTCTTCACTATACTTCTCATTAGCATACTTGACCATGTCTTTTAAAATGTCCGTACCTACGCAACAAGCAATCGTAAAATTGAGCGATAATTTCGATAAAGTCCGTTTTGCATGATCGCGTATAATTCTCTTACCGATCATTACAGCACTCTTATCAAGAGACGGCAAAGTGATATTTTTGGTAATGTCGCCCGGGCCGCATCCGATGTCCATGCATTTGCCACTCATAGTTTTTAATTCTTCCTCGAATTCGTCCATTAACGCCATCACATTGCGTTTCAAAATTGCATCAGACGATGCGTATTTTGCTGGATTGACCATAATTTTGGCAACTGTGATGTGTGATGTGTGACTAATGTCATTAGCTCATTCCGTCGTTTATATACTATTGAGCATAAGCAGCAAATGACGCAATTGTAATTTACACATATGGAGTACAGGTGCACCAGACATTTTTATCTAGAATTATATCAACAGAATGAAACAAACACTGGAGAATAAAGTTGTCGTGCATTGAATAAAAAGGCATCGCCGAATAAAATGGCATTAATATAATAAAAGGCACCGATAACATGACACTGGATTAATGTTCTGATATCGATACACAATATGATATAATGTGGGAAACTTTATAGAATATATTCATTTTATGTTTGTGTGTACAACAGACAATTTTATTTCACAGAACGCTCTCGCAAGAATTCTGCAACAACCCCTGTTATTTAACCTCAGCAATCGAACAAAAATTGGTAATGTCGGTGAGTTTTGACGATAATATAACAACACATCGTTATAACGTTCAAAATTTTATAATGCCGTATTTATTTATAGGATAACATTTTCATTATTCATTTCGAGATAGCGTTTTTCAGGAATTTGTTTCCGACGTTTTTGTGAACATTCCAGTTCACTTTTTCAAGGTGAGGTTACGACCTGAGAAAAATTATATTACGCTTGAGAACAGTCGACAACAGTGAGTTTATTAACTGTTGATATTTTTTTAAACAGATACGAAATAAATTTTGTAAATATAAAAGCTTGTGTAAAATATGTTTCGATATACATAAATGGGACACAGAAATGGCAAGTTTGAGTTTCAGATGAAACTTAGTTATCTCTACGGATAAATTATTACTTCCTCCATTTAATAATATGCGTCAATATGGTAGTAATGTTCGCTTAATAGAAGTATAAGGAAAAGTGGCAAAGGCAGAAATAAACGCAATAGATAGATAGCGGAAAATTCCTTTCGTAATCAATCACAATATTGATTGTAAGCTCACTATTCACCTCATTTTATGTGCGAGAAACATGCCTTTCTACAATGCTGAGGAGCTTCACTGGAAACATGATGAAAACCCATCGGAATCCTCCGCTTATGTACCATTAAAGTATTATATAATTCATTATAATATCATTAAAATATTATAAACTAAAAAAATGAAATTAAAGTATTATATAATTCATTATAATATCATTAAAATATTATAAACTAAAAAAATGAAATTGTTTAACACTTTGAAGCCTTAATGATGATGTATTAATGGGATCTTGGACAATTTTGATGTCCAGAAGAAAGGGGATAGATATCCGATGTTCTATGAAATATTGGGAACGGCCGAAACCCGAGAATAAGCCGATAGCGGAAACGTGTAAAATTAACCCCTTAACCTCCAACTACGTGTGAGACACGTGGTCTTGTATTCGGGCTAAAACTGATTATTACGGGTCTCGCCTGTGGTACATCGGTCGAGCCAAATGTAAATATTACGGGCATGACCCCTGGTGCAATGATCGGGCCAAATGTAAATATCAAGGGCATGGCTCGTGGTGCGACGGTCGACGTGGTGCGACGGTCGCAACAGCATCAAAATTAAGGCCATCAAAACCTTGTAAAGTTTGCACAAAAAATAAAAAAACGTCCTGGAACAACGTGGGAGTGCATGAGGGGCAAAGTTCCATTACATGTACCAATATGTTTCGAACGATATCACACCATTGAAGATTATTAATTTTTTGTTATTAATTTTTGTATAAATGCTAATTACGTGAATTGCTAATTTATTCAGGAATTGCAGATAAATGTTATTGATTTATGTTATATTTTAGTGATTGATAATAAACCTTTTGTGGTATATTTACCACAATTATTACATCAGGCTGTAATTACTTATCAAATATTCCACAAAATTAAACTAGTTGTATCTTACACATGTATTTACATTCCGTAAGTTGTGCGCGTTTGGTACAACTTAGGACCGATTTGCTGAACCGTGGAATGGCTCGAAAGCTGCGCGATCTTGTTTACGTTTTGGACCCAGGCTGTTGGAATGTAAATCGTAGGTTAAGGGGTTAAATAGCCAGGCCCGAGTTATACTCGGGCTTAGGACAAAGAGTGTTAAAAACGTAATAAGTTATAAAAATGTAATTCCGATGTCACGCAGTAAGTTTTACTGTAATCGGAAGACAATAATAATAATAATAATAATCTAAGTAACATTGTCACATAATTTGCGACTATTTTCAAGTACCAAGTAACGCTCATAAAAATAATATGAATAACGCTCAATAACGCTCATAAAAAATGCGTAGTTAGAAACGTAAGCAGCTGGTGAAAAATGTTTAATGACTATTGATTTAATGAATGATATTGAAACTTCACAACTGATTAAATACTGCGTTATATTTGCCAAGGTACTGGATGATTTATGCACCTGTGAAGTCAACATGCTTCAGGATGTCATTTAAAACTGGTTAGCATTCGTAGCGTTACGTCGCTATTAATTGCACGCATCGTACCCGGAAAGTCCAGTACGTTACGTACGTAACATGTACACAATGAATAATGTCACGGATTAATTCGTAACGTTGGTATCCTCGAAGGGTCTCGACGTCAAAGGGTCGACGTCAGATACTATATCATTCGCTCAATTGAATCTTCTCACTTTCTCGGTTGCTTCTTCTGCCCGCTAAAGAGTTAATAGAGTCAAGATGATCTTGAAATAATTCGCACAGATTCGCGCACGTCTGTTTAACATAAATTATTAACAACTCTAATGCGACACGATAAGTGAATTAGGATTAATCGTCTTCTCGTTAGTATAAGATGTTTTTATTTAACAAAGCATTCGCACATACTAATGCGGCACATAGATGGATGCATTCATTATGTACATTAGACTAGACGTATGTAGCGTGTATTGTGTGTATCGATAACTGTAATAAATTAATGACGCGAATGATGTTATGACAATTCAAAAACAATACAACTAAGTGAAATATGGGCGTCGTGTGCTTATGATTAACGCGAATTCGGAAGAACGCTTCTTCATGAGGTTTAACTTAATGCCATTTTAATATTCATTGTTACTCTAATTATTATATGATCTATATTCATCATTTGTATGAAGACGAAATTTGGCTTCATTGCCGGTGCGGCGGAGGACAAACGCATTCGCCATCCAAGTGATCTTTAATCCATCCGATGTAATTTGTTAATTTACTATATATGCCTGGAAAATTTGGCCTGGAGCAGCCTCGTCCCCATGAAATGATTCCTAAACATATACGTTGCGTTTACTAGCAATAATTATAATCTATGTTGTTACAGATAAGATTAATCAAAGTGCAAATCTTCGAGTTAATTATATAGAGGATATTCTCTGATAGATAGATAGATATCTGTGATATTTAAAATAAAGAAAGAAGGAAAACAGGAAAAAGGAAAACACAAGGAAGGAAAATATTGGTCAATTAATATCGTAACATGCGAATATAAGTAACAGAACCGAACTCATCGTTCAGATTTCATTTCTAACATTAACGGTGAATTATTTTATATGCACATATAATTACCTATTAATTCGAGGTGGGCGTTACTTCCTTTAACGTGAAGTGGACCGCCGCTGTCACCCTACACAATAAAAAATATTTTGTACTTGTGTTAAGATTGGTTCATGTTAAAATTTTTATTTAATTAGAAAAAAAAATTATTAACATATTCGTATGTTAATTTAATATATTGTGTTAATGTTATCTCAATATTTTATGTCGATATTCAACATATATGTTATCAAACATATGTAAGCGTTAAAATATTGCTTCCCGTATTTATCAATTTTTAGATGATTTACGAAGAAGTAATTAATCTGCGCTGCATTGAATGTTTGTATTATATGACCTATGCGTGATGTTATGCGTTATTCCTAGAATGCGTTACTCGGTGGAATTTCGAAGTCGCGTGACTGCATGTATATTATGTTTTCCCATGCTCGCGGGCAACTTCATGCAACTTCATACGAAGATTAAAACTTTGTACTTATAGATTACACACATTTCCGTTGAAACTTACGAAACAAGCGTCTCCGCGCTCTCCTTCTAAGTAGCCGGCGCAAAACATATTTTCTGTGATGCGATTTTTGCCGTATCCAGCCTGATCGCATTCCTCTTGCGACAAAATCGGTAGATTGACTTTTCGCAATTCGTCACTAACCGGTTTCGTTTCACCTGTTCTACCCCATCCAACCACCGTGGCTATAGCGCCGGTGTAATCAATGGCTTCTGTAATCATTTTATTATTTTCAATGAGCATTTTTCTGATAGATTATTTTTAATCGATGAATTGCGGATTGAAGCGTGGTGAAATTTCCTACCCGAGGATGTGTGGCAGGCAAAATTTTAGTTTGAAAACGAACGCAGAATCGAGTCACTTAATGTTCCTGATACAATATAGCTGTACAGCTGCAATATAACTTACTGTCTTCGGGTAGACAAGCCGTTCGAACGATACCGTCCACCGGCACGGGGTAATCCATCTCTATGATTGCGATGTCATTGTTGAATGTGTAAGCGTGGAAGTTCTCGTGGATTGTCGCGGATTTGATACGTCGCACAATAGCGTTGCTACTTATCGATGGACGGTCGCTGTCCGCCAAAACGAGTCTGATGGTTTTAATGTCGAACCTGGAAATCATTTTAATGGTGACGTCGTAATGCCATCTGTTTCGTCGTAACAAAGCAAAGGCGAAATATCCGGAAATTTATTTTCCGATTATCCGATTATCCGCGATGCTGGCCGTTCGGCACGTACCCTTCTAAGCAGTGGGCCGCTGTAAGAACGTGCTTGCGTGATATTACGCTGCCAGCGCAGTAAAACATTCCTTTCTTCGTCATACTGACCAACCAGGGGTACTCGTAGATGCTCGTCACGTTGCCGCCGACGATCCTCGTTTTTCTGCCAACCCCGCAAACTGCAATGCATCGACATATTCGCATGTATCACGATCTAGACCAGAGATTCTCAAGTATGTGTCACCGATTTTCGATGACCGATTTTCGCCAAACATTTTTAAATGTTAAATTACACTTCATTATTTCGAATTATTTCACGGTCTAAAAAGTTCCGAGATTGATTTTTTCCCGAACGAACAAGTAGTGATATCTCTCGGATACATGCGGGAACTTTTAATATTAACACTCGACTACTCGTAAAATTTGTTTACACGTCATCAGTCGTCACAGGTAGTACATTTTGAATGGTGAATTTTTTATAAGATTATTATGCTCGTAATGGGACAACGTGCTGCTCTTAAATTTTAAAATTCAAAAAATGCCGATCGAGACCTATAATTTGATGAAACAGGCGTACGGTGAAGACTAGCGTCTACGTGTTTGAATGGTATGACGCAGGAGCTCGGCTCATCATGCTTTGACACAAATGTTTTGACGCAGATGGCTTGATCATGAATGTTTTTTTCCCGGCACTATAGTCACTATAGTCATAATTTATATCGTATTTGAAAAACACGCTTATCCTGATAGGGTTTGAACTCGGAATTTTTAAGTCTGCTACCATATAAACTGCGCTAAATAAGACATATAGTTAAATACATACGATATGTATATATATTTTTATTATAAGACGCGTAACAGCGATTTTCAATGAACCGTTTACTAGTCAAAATCAGTATTAGGCAAAAGAGCTAAATGAAAGAGTTTCCACTGAAAATTAGTGGATACTCACTGATTATCGATAGAATACTATTTCATTGATTCAATTATTGATATTTTCACTGATTCGACTTAAGAAAGTCGGTCTCGAAGGGCTTTCTCCGCGAATCATACACTGACGAAATGAGATTCCGTGCAGATTGATCCGCGCTATCGCGTGTTAGAGATTGTGGTATTCTTATTTGAAATGATATAGACGGAAAACCCGGTTGCTTAGTCATCGCTTTGCTTCTCGCAACTGGCTTCATAATATCATTATGCTTTCTACTCCACCACTCGTGATATTTGTACTCAATTATAGCGATATGCATATGTGTAAACATACATACAGCAATGTTTTTGAAATGTCCAAGTAGTTATGATCATGATAGCTATCGAAGATCAATATTGGAACACGCATGTGTATCTTGGCGTGCAGGCACGAAAAATTTTGCGATAAGTTAAGTGATTAGTTAAGCAGGTGTCGATTAGATGATACAATCTTTCAAACACGTTTGCTCACCACAGTCGTTACAGACGTCTGGTCTTGAGGAGGACGTAGGTGAGGAATCGAAATCAACGTAAGAAACCTCGTCTATCGCCGGACGATTGTCGACCTCGGCATTTGTGATATTGTAGTGCACCTGAGCATTCGAAGCAGGAATATTCCTTATGTTGTTGCGTAGTATCTAGAAAAAAATTGTTCGATGTAATATAGAGGAGAAAAAGAGAAAAAAATTTGCTCTCAATACGCAAAGCTAATTAGTATTAATGAGTAAATAGATTTTACACGGGTATGATTCATGAGATATGAAGATGCGATATGCTAATTGACTGAATTCGATATATAGTACAGATATTCAAACAAGGTTAGAGATAATTCCACTTTAAAGTGGGTATGATAAAGAGTGATTACGAGGAACGATCGAACAAATTCTTAGTTTCTTTATGTACTCGTTAATCCGTACATACACTAATAATAATTACTAATTAATAATTACTACTACGTTTCGTACTCACTCGTGCTATTTGCATTTTGTTAAATTAATAGTCACGTAAGTGCGTTCGAGAAAAGTGTTTCAAAGAAAAATTCAATTGTATATATTTCAATCTATTTAATTTTGTCGTATCTTCACCTTTATCTTTATTTTAATATTTTAGCAAAAATTACCACAAAATTTTTTAATGCTGAACCATACCGGAATTACGACTGAAGTTACGTTGTGCGTTGTAATTTTTAATGATATGCGTTGAAATTTTTAATGATGTATATCATATGTGCATACCACTAAAGATTACAAGACACGTAATAATTTCAATAGAAATTCACATATAATTCAGCATTATAAACTTGGGTATTAATTTCTACTATAATGTTTCCTCCGTGTATCGAAACTTGGCTTAGGTGCGAAAATCTCGATCGACATTTCACTTCTGTCGACTCGATACTGTCACTATTACGATACCCGACGTCCGAAGCGCGGATAAAAGAAGAAAACGCCGTGGCGCGGTCATTACCGCTATTATCCTCTCGCGAACGTGGGCACACGTAATAATGATCATTTAACTCACCACGCGTGGCAGCGCATAGGCGCAACTGCTCAGGCATAGAAAGAGCGCGAGCACGCATCTCATCGTCGTTGCGTAGCCGTCCATGCCTCGTGAGTGCGGTTTCCGGTAATCCACGCTCGGTAATCCAGTTGGTATATTCGTAGCCGCGAGATTCGGGCCGGTGCGCGCGCCTACGCCCGTGGCGTGAAAAGTCTAAAGGTATCCCGGCCCGTTTTGCCGTTTTATAGTAAATTATAACTAATGAAGGAGCCCAGCTCGGTGGGGATCGTCAACCTTGAGTGGTGCGTTTGCATTGGCAGATGTTGCATGTGACAGCCTTTAAATCACCCGTTCGTTCGGTCGGTGTACGCGCCCGTTGTCTCACCTGCACATAGCCACGCCGCCGGCACAATGAGAGGTGTAACGCGCGCGCACACATACGTACGTACGACGATGTATGGCGCAATCGACCACCACGAACGTTCCAATGTCAACCCGGTCCACACCTCCTCTCCCGCGGCGATCCTTCCTTTCAGGGATCCACCGAGACTGGATCAATGTCAATTTCGTCAGCGACGAGCGCGAAAGTTACCGCGCGGCCGCTCCGGTTCATTGTCGCGATGCACGACGGCGGCGGCGGCGACGGTGTTGTTGATGATGATGAGAATGGTGATAATGATGATGATGATGGGACATCGACGCCGATAACTCGTACGCGCGGCTAATGGCGAAGGGATTTCACTTGTTGTGCCTCGCGCAAGCTGTCGTCCCACGAATTTCTCATCTCCATCGGTGAATTTCGCGCTGCGAAATCGTACTTTCATCGAGCAGCCCTTCCCGAAGAAAGTGATTCGTGGCGTGAGCTTTTTGCGCGCGAGCCCAGATTGCGGCATGGGTACGATAATGAGCTCGGCGACCGCGTATTGCTCGAAGCAAATTCATCTAACGCGACGTTAAAGTCGATTGAAATTGATTGGACTTACCGTTCGACCCTGTACGCGAATCGACGCCACACCGGCTTTTCGTCAGTCAGTAATATATGGGGAAAGTATTATAGTAAAAATTTTGTAATGCCGGACTATACCGGAATTTTGTGATCATTTTTACTACAATATTTTCTCCGTGCGCTTTAAATGAGTAGTTTGCAGCTCTCTGTTTTAATAATTTTGTGTTTATTAATTATTTTATAAATTATTTCATCGTTGTTTTTATTAAATACGTCAACGATAAATTTTCAGGTAAATTTATTATACAGTAAATTTGATCCATATATTCGTTAGAGGATAACACAGTTTCGCAGAGATTGAATAATGTCGAGGTGGAAGATCTTGGAAAGAGAGTCGGGGGGAGAAAAATTGTCAATTTCAATATATGTCAACCAATGAATGTTTTATTAGGATCTTCTCAGAAATTCTTGATGCTTGACGGTACATCGGATGTCGTTGCGGTTTCCATCGAGCCGACGTGGCTGCAGCTTAACTTTACTATCAAATTTGTTGAGTTAGAACGAATCCACGACGGCAAAAAAAATGTATACCGTTTCCTTGGGCCATTTGCTCACTACAGTTGTAAAGACACGATGAGTCGGCGAGTAATAAAGCCTTCGATTTATCAAGGTTTGCCGATGGCATCGTAGCGAGAAAACACGTTGTTGAAAAGGGCTCGGGCGGAGCACGTGTGAAACGACGCGAGCGACGCGCAATAAGGCGGTCAATTAAAAATGTCGCAATTTCTCCTGCATATAAATCCGAATTGGTTCCGCGTCATTTAGCATTTGCGCACGCTCGTTCATCAGCACGAGAGAAACATCGTTTCACTTTTTTCAACAGCGACTTATTAACTCACCGGTAATTTCGCTTTCACCGCAAATTATGTGACCCGCTTGTAATCTTCATTCGGCGTGAAAATTGCGGTTCTTCCAGGCGGGCCACGGCAAAAGGCATTGTTTTTCTTTCTCCCCTTTCTCTCTCTCTCTTTCTTTTTCTTGACGCCTACTACAAAAGTTGCGAACGAGACGAAGCGTTCGAATTTAACTTTTCGATCGCGTCTCACGTCCCGTTGCTGTACGGAAAAAATGCTGTTGAATCAATAAAATTTCCAACAATAATAATAACAATAAAATTGGAGTATCATAATAACAATAAATCTTCGTGATTCAATGACAAATATTAAAACTACGTTATGTATTGTTTCAATAATTAAAATATTAATTTTAATGATATCGCAATTGAATCAAGGCATTTACTCCAATTATGCATGTTGTTGAAAATTCTACTGATTGAATATTTTTTTTTGAATTTATAGAAAAATCTATAACAGCCCAACACAGTTGGTGCGAATAATATTACACGGGAGGATAATGTATTTGATTCTTTTTCTGTGTGCGGATTCTGGATAGTTAGGGGCATTTTTCGCTAATTCGTCTTATTTCGTTAATTACGCGGCAACAGATATAATATGGTAAGTTATATAAACAATATCGTGAGAAAAACACGTAACCGTTTTATGATGGCCGTTTCTTGTAAAAATTAGGATAAAAAGGGCTAAATATAGACGGGAATATAATTGGATTACTTGATGGTAGAGGGCCACGATGTTAGGGATGTTACGACACAGACAATGTTTTAGCCACAGACGTTAATTAAATTTGTCGCGCGCGTGCCTCTGGTTAAAATATATATTTCGCTGTACTCACCTTTCCTTCCGTGTCTCGTCCTCTCGTTTCGTGAACCGGCCAGACGTATAATTACCAAACGTCTTCTGGTCTTGAATGTGTTTCAAGAACTTTTCGCACTTCTCTCTCATCGTCGCGACCTTACGTTACTTCCTAGGGTTTTACGTGTCATTGTATTAGCCGTGATAACGAACTCGCGGAGAGAGATTACATCGCGGATATGATCTGACCCTGAAGACATGCGCAAAATAAAGCAAGGCTTCTGATAAAGCTAGACACACATCGGCGACACAATAAGGCGATGCGCGTCTCGCCCGCATGAGGGTCTCGTGACCTATATACCTTGACCCACTGTCACAGGTTACAGCTGGTATACAATCTCTCGCCTTGCCGCAATCTTATCTCGCTTGCTTAGCAATAATCGAAGCCACGATAAGTCGGGCCAGAGAAAAAGAGCGAGGAAGAAAGAGGGAGAAAATGTGTAAAAATAATAACGACGAAGAGGAGGACGAAGAGCCGTCCGAAATGTGCCCACATGTGTCGTCCCTTTTGTGAGAAATTTCGTGAATGTCTATGTAACGTGACACGCTTACGCAACGTGTCACCGAAGATTTGAGCTGCTTCTTTGCGTTTTAAGGCAAGTCGAATGTGCGAAATCATCGTGGGAATCGTTAAACTCTCTCGAACACATCGGAGATTCAAAAGTGAGATGTATAATACATGCCGTTCAATATTCATGTGCCGGCATGTAAGCCTTATACATGTACGAAAAGTATTAGTTTCTTTTCGCTTAGTAGTATGTAATGTAACTTTATCGGAGACGTGATTGGCGCAATCGTATCCCTCGACTAAATCTCGACCTTCTCGATGATCTGTCTATTAAGTCTATTGAACACATTCGTGCTAACTTGACATTTACTTTTTTGTGTGTGCTCGAGAACAACAGATATCCTATAATAGAGGGGAAACGCGCATTTTTTTAATTCTCGGGAACATCAATAAAGAAGTTTTAAAGAGATATGATTTTAGCGATGATTCTTACGAAGGTACGTCTTAGAGGGAAAGAGATACGTATATGCACTGAGAAAAAAATTTTTTCATATTATAGAAATCTATTTTTTTGAAATCTATTTTTTTAATGCATTTTTCGATTAAAATAAATCTCTGCATCCTCTAAAAAAATATTGTTGTAATATTAAATAAATGATGAGTTAAATGGAATAATGTGTGACATATTTTTTGTTTGTGCAACTATTTCCATATGAGCTTTTCGCGAGTGGCACTTCTAACGCATTGCTTTTAACTGGGACGTTCGCTTTTGCCCTTTTTTTATAACGGGAAGAGAAATCACGGGGGAAAGAGGAAGGAGGGATTGTCCGAGCAGGACGCACCATCTTCGGCGAACTGGTAGTAGGTTTATTGGACCTCTCGTATGCTCACAACGCGGTTTATTCGCGATAAAATTTGCATACCGCTAGCCTAAATTTTCACTCCTGCCACCCGTCCGTCCGCTATTCCGTATAAATAAAGACACCGTGACACAGAATCGACTTGTGCGAAAGTGTATGTTGCCGCGGCAGGAAGTGCTGTGGATCAGTTCGAATTAATACTTCCCTCGGCGAAACAGAGAAACGCGGCGGTGTGTTTTCAGTGTTGTATCCTTGCAACGTGTGTCATGTTGATTCGATTTACGTTGTTATTAGCCTTCACCGCGCTTGCGAGACCGGCCGTTATTGACAATAAGGTATACCGTTACTATTTCGTTAACATGCATTTAATAAAAAACTGTTTTTACGCGCGTGCCTAAAATTATGGATGCATTTTTCGAGATCAGCCTCAGCAACGCGAGAACGCGATATATACTCGGTTTAACATAGATACCTCGAACGTAAGTAAAAGAGAAATGTCTTGAATAACAATTGCAGTCGAATTCAACGTCACGCGCGGAGGAGCAGATCTCGAACAGCGCGAATAAAACCGCATCGGCCGAGGATGACAAAGGACTGTTAGAGTGGTTGTATGACGTTGTGGGACCAAAGCCACCAACTGTCGTTCAACCGTCGCAACCAGTAGATCCAGCAACGTGTCCGAAATGCAGTAAGTTTGACATTTGTTACTTTCCTATATTTGCACGTACATTACACATTTAATAGCAAAACATGATCATTGATGACAGAACACTATAAACTCCAAATATTTATCGGTTACTATTTTCTTAAGTACTAGCGACATTATTAAGCCATAATTACAAGAAAGAAAAATTAATATAATTTCAAGACTCATATTTTTATGTATATATAAGTAAAAATATATTATCTTCTTAGAAGATTTTTAGTCTTGATTGAATTGCATTTGTATAGAGATGTATTACTTGCACTCAATTCAAGAATAAAAATTTTCTAAGAATATTATAATATTCTTACTTATATATGAGAATATTTATTATTGATTTAAACTATTTTATTTCTGTGTGAACATCGCGAAAAAAACATTAATTTCGGCTGAACATTATCAGAGGAAAGGAACATATAATTGGAGGTACGAAGTAATAAGATATTAATCCATTATTTACAGCCTGCGGTTTGGTAAACAAACAGAATCGTATTGTTGGAGGAGTCGAGACCCAAGTCAATCATTATCCTTGGATGGCCCTGATGTTATATAGGGGACAGTTTTATTGCGGTGCTTCGGTCATAAACTCGATATATCTGCTAACTGCTGCCCACTGCGTCAACAGGTGATTGTCGGCTTCACGGCGTCTTCGAACATGCGAAATAAACCTCTAAGAGCAATATACGATCGAAAATTCCCCTTCTTCACAGATTCAATCCGAGTCACATGGTTATTCGACTATTAGAACATGACAGGAATTCGACCACTGAGAGCGAAATACAGGAATACAAAGTGGAGGATACGATCAAGCATAGCGGTTACTCCACTCTGAACTACAACAATGATATTGCGCTCATTAAGCTAAAAGATCCAATCAAATTCCAGGGTACGATGCGACCTGTCTGTCTGCCGGAAGCAGGTTAGTTCAAACAGCGATGATTTTATGAAAATTAATTAATACTTTACAGAAATATTTTACGGTTTTTAGCTCATGAAAACTGTTAGTTTAAGTAGTGAAAGCGTATGTAACATATTATATATTGAATTATTTTTAGAATAGTAACCACGAATGAATTACGTATCAATCGTTTACTTTCAGGGAAAACCTTCGCCGGTTCGAAAGGAATCGTGACCGGATGGGGCGCGATCATGGAATCCGGGTCGGTTTCGCAGACCTTGCAGGAAGTGATCGTTCCTATTATCTCGAATGCCGAGTGCCGTTCTATGAATTATCCGTCGCGCAGGATCACGGATAATATGCTGTGCGCCGGCTACAAGGAGGGCGGCAAAGATTCCTGCCAGGTGGGCGGCGAGAGTCACGCTGGATTGTAAATTACTAGGATTGTAAATATTCGCGTGGAACGAATGATGACGTGGATTTTCACGTTGCAGGGAGACAGCGGCGGTCCATTACACGTGGAGGAAAACGGCGTTCACCAGATAGTCGGTGAGTCCAAATTGCGCATATTATCTAATTTGCGCGACACATACGCGCGGAGCTCGCAAAGTTGTCGGATGTAAGAGCACACTCGCGCGCAAGCCGACGCTTCGTTCGCGAGGCGAGCTAAACGAGAGGGTTTACGGAGAAAAATTCTTCAATTTTCCAGGAGTGGTATCTTGGGGTGAAGGGTGTGCGCAGGCTGGTTACCCCGGGGTTTATAGCAGAACGAATCGATACCTGACGTGGATCAAGCGCAACACGGAGGACGCTTGTTACTGTTGATAATAATATTACGTTGATTTATAGACTGACGTATTTATTTTATTTTACTTTAATTAATTACACGGGTCACAATGATTTTTGTCGAATTAACTAGCACATCTAATCGACAATGATGGAGATCGCGCCGCATCGCTCGATCGAAAAATGTACATCGCGAGATGTTGATTATTTAAGACACGTTATTTATTCGTCTTTACAATATTTTGCACGATCTTGTACGCGTGTATGTAACACAATGCGCGCTCTTTGCTTTTATCATATACCTGGCGTACACGAATATTACACGCAGACGGTGATACTTTAAACTTAAGGCACGCACTTTGCTCCCTCTCCGTTGTCCAGTCGAGGTTCCCGATATAGAATGTACACAGAGGAGGAAAGTCGTGAGACTTTCTCTACTCATTTCAATCGGACGACGTGGAATTTCGGTGAAAACTTACGTACATTTCGACCATTGCATTAACGCTGTTTGCATTACACGGTGAACAGATGACAAAATAAAATATATTTTTTTGTTATTGATGTGGGTCGATCGATTTGAGGTCGATTTAAATGTGATTTAAATGTGATTGTATAAATATAAATAAATATTTTTCAACATCTTTTTTTCCTCCTGAAATTTAAGCGATTTTGTCCATTACATGATCAAGACTTGAATATATTCGGTAGTAGTTATTTATTATATACTAATCGAATTTTGACGCTATTTTGAGAATCTTTTCAATAAAATATACACTGTTGTTTTTGTGGAAATTGTTTTACGCGAATTTTATTTTATTCAATTTTTAATTTTATTCAAGTCCTATGTGTGAGTCTTATATATCAGTGACTAGAAGACCTTCGACTAGCGCGTCTTCGTCATTGGACGAGCCGATCTCTTCTTTCGCTTCATCATTTATCGCACACTGCAACCAGTACGTTTCCATGTCCCCTTTTCCCTTTGTGTGATAAATCATAAACAACGTTATCGTACGTAATACAGAATACCGGCAATTAGTGTGTGAACATTTTTATAATACAAACCTTGACCCACACAACGCCACGTGATTCTGTATGATAACGACCTTCAGGTAACAGCGCTTTGGTGCTGGAAGAAATGTGGACCTTTCCTGGCTACATCATGAAATTCAATAAATCAGTTATGAAGACAAATTCTCTGTACAATTTGACGCATGCTAGTCGTTAATTTTAAAAGACTATCTTGATTTAAACGTATGAGACTATATATCGCGCAAATGTGAAGTTTGTGTTTTTTATTATATACAGAAAAAAATAAAAATCGAGTCGACAAATCTCTAGACTTAAAAAATCATGGATAGTGTACATTGGTATATGTGTGTGTGTGGCGCTACGTGTTACGTAAAAGTGAAAAAACTCGGTTACCAGACTAGTGGTTTGCATTCTGGAAGCCGTGTTAACGGTATCACCGAAGAAACAGTATCTCGGCACCTTGATGCCGACCACGCCGGCGACCGCTGGCCCGGAATGAATTCCTGTAGCGTCGCAAAATTCTGTTATTTCACGGCTGGGTTTACACGATCGACAATCACGGTTCTCCGGGAGAAAAAATAAAGTTTTCCGCGCGCGTCGAGAGACGAACGAAGAGGGAATTCTCGAGAGTCACGAGCGGAAACTTTATTCGAAAGTTGAACGACCACGGCTACTCGGTTACCTATACGGATCCGGATGTCGAGCCCGGAGGGTAATTTGAGGGACCGAACGTGCTCGATAAGCTGCAGAGAAACATCGGCAATGTTCTGCGCATGATTTTCATTTCTGTCTGGCGCGCCACCGGCTGCCATGTACACGCGACCCACAGTCTCCACCTGTTACGACAGATTCGTCGTGATCCGTAAATGCAATGTACAACATATACTTGCACAGGTGCACGCTAGGGATGTTCCGATCTAAGAATGTTCGTATCGATGTTTTGAAATATCGACACACGTTCATTCAACGTTCGATATTTTGACTTTCAATATCGTAGCGCGCATAAAGATACATCAATGAATTCGGCCCACTTTCAAACCAAAGCACAATTTGTATACCGTTATCGATATCCAAATAAAATATCGATACTTTATGCTCCTCCGTACATCCCTAGTGCATGCACTTGTGAACGTGATCGTCGCTGTGTCATGCAATAATCGTATTTTATGGAAAAAGATTGTGGGTTGGGCTATCTCGGTGGCCACGAGTGCGGCGAAACGTTTTATCATTTGTTTGCTTGGGACGAGACTCTGTTCGAGGATCGCATATCATAAAGTGAATCGGGAAACGCCTCGCGATTTCAGCGGGAAATATGTAATTTATCGGTCTTACCTTGTACACGTTGAACTGATCCATCAGCGTGTCGAAGCAGGAGAAAACCGCGTTCATGGACGACACAATGTCCATCGCTCCTTCGATGGTCGAGTAGTCGAAGTCGCATAATTCACAGAAGAGAACCGTGATCGAATCGAACGACTGCGAATAATTGCGTTCCTCAATACCAGATTGCCAATTACGGGGAAGTGACGGAGGATTTTTCGAGTCTGTTTGCGTACCTCGCAAGTACTTAACGGACTGGCCCCGGCTCGCAGTCGATCCGCCACGGTTTGCGGGATCATGGAGTATAATAGCTCGTCGCTCTTGTTTTTCCAACGGTCCAACAACGCGTAACTGTCTTCCAGCTCTGTCGATCTCTGCTCGGCCCTCTCGAACATCATTTCCAACCTTCGAACAAACGGCGCAAATTGCGTGCACGAAAACCGAAAAATCGCGAGTAAACTGCATTTTCGACGAAGGTGCAAAAATTTGCTAAATTTTCTGTAGACGTAAACATGATATACACAATGATATACACAAAAATCGCAAATGAAATTCCCAATAATAAACAGCGCGGCCAAGTATGCGAGGAATATTTTTACTTGTGTCAATTTGAGATTAAGAATCTAAGTTTGCGTGAAATCTAAATTTTAGATGAAATGATTCCTGGCGATTCGAGGAATCTCAACGAGTCATACCTTCCGCAATGTTGCCATCCTGCCAGCACTAGTTCTTTACTCATACCATGAGGATTCAGATCGTTCAAATATAGACCCATGTTGAGAAGTTCGTCCAAACTGTTGATCCTGTTGGATGAAGGGGATCGTGAATATCACGAACCTGTTGCAAATATAATTAAAACAGGTACTGAGACTTACAGAGGGCTGCAGAGGAATATAATCGCCTTGATGTCCTCGATATATCTCATTTGGCCTTTCAACAGGATACTTCGTGCACCTTGACTACCACGCCTGTCTAAACCGCTGCTGGTGCTCGGTGCATCGGCCGATTTTATTGCGGTGTGATGATCGTTCGCTCGGATGAGTTCTAATTCGAATATCACTGAATGCAAATACATCACCTGAAAGCGTAAAGATAAAAATATGTTCGTCGTATTTATTTTCCATATTTATGGATATGCAAATAATATGTGTTCTAAGTCGCAAAATCGTAAGAGGAAAAAATGACATCCCAGGTAACGTTGTTTCGGCGAGAAACATTACTTACGTTGCCCCACGTAAAGGAAATTCCTTTGGGTCTTCTCAATTTAAAGATTTCCGTGACGTGCTTGTTTAAGATGGACGCGGTACCACCCCAAGCTTGAAGTAGTTTATCACCCGCTCCGAGAATTTGCATTTCCTTACTCATCACTACGCCAAATGGAAAAAGACGCAGGAAAAATGTGCAGGAAATAGGTGGCAGTTCGCGACCCAGCGGAGTTTTCATTCGGTTGTTTTTTGCGATCTAACGATTTCCAATAATGTTACGCACAGATTGCAGCGATCAAAGTTGAATGTTAAATGAATAAAATTCATTATTATGAATTTTCAGATAAAGCATTAAAATCAGCTGTGCAACTGTTGCCTCGCCTTTTGGTTGCTTCATTTCACTCAGTGTACTCAATTATTTTCTTTCTTTATATTAGCTTAGACATCCAATAAATTAAAATTAAATTGAATTAAATTAAATCATCAAGGTCATCGTAGTCGTGATCAATGGAAAGTTCGACGTAAAAATAAATCATCGAGATTTTCCGTTAAATTTTCTGGTTAGAAATAACAAGGAGATTTAAGTTCGAGTGAAATTCACTACTTACGTATTGACGGTTGTCGAAATCAATGCGGAATTTAACCATCACGTTTCGAGATCCTGGAATATTATTCGAGCTTTCTAGCACTCTAATATCCAGCTCTGTATCATACAGGTCCTTCGCTATTTGAAATAATTGTCCTACGAAAGAGCAAAGTCAACGATATTTTATAAGAGGAGGTTTATTCATTTTTCATTATCGGATCTATTATCGGTTTCATTATTGGATTAAATTTCATGATACAATCTCGTTTTCACCAGTGGAATGTTCTCAAAAATATGTTTCCGCAAATCATGCGACGGGATAAAAGTCAGAAAAAAAGTCAATTCTTACCCATGAGGTAATGGGTAAAACCTTGTCGAGTACTTCTATAAACTAGAACGACTCCCTGTGGATCCACGTGTGTGGTGTACATGGAAGGACTTTTCATCTTCGGATAAGTGAATCTCATTTGCATGTGAATGTTGTCAACGCTTTGCAGAAAGTCGCAAAAATAGCGACCAGTTGCTTTTATGGTGCAATCGTACCTAATAAAATAAACCACGCGTGAAATGTAAATTTTACCAGTTTTTACGTAAATCGTATACGCAAGCGCTTTCGAATATACAAGGAATGCACGTGGGTAAACAATTATGATTAAATAATTAGACGATCGTTCAACGATTGTTAAATGCGTATAAAACACACATTTCACGGGCATGACTCAGCATTTTTGCTCTTCAAAACGAACTAATGTTGAAATTACATATCGATTTTTTTGCTGTTTCAATCCCCCATGCTCATAAAGCACGAGTAATTGAAAGCAGAGAGCTGACGCGTTCAGATTTCGGGAACGAAATCTGAACTTCTGCTCAATCATTTAGCTCGACGAGATATAACGATTTTAGCGATATAAATGTATAACCATAATTTTTGAAAACCCCGAAACTACATTTTTAACGACAGGAAGATCTTATTTCGTACATGTCATAAAATAATTATTTGCATAAAAAATTTAAAAAAATTGATCCGAAGTAGCCGCTAGATTCTTATTCGATAAAAGTAAGCGATAATAAATAGTATATTATTTATAATTTCTCAACGATATGAATAAAAGAACAGTTTGTTTAGCAGGTTGACCGTCGGAAAAATTTTACGATGGCACATTAATTATACATTGCTTGTAATCGATTCAACAGACACGTACATTTAACGATTATGTTTCCGATGGCAGTTAGTGATATTCCAAGAAGTGTACGTAAAATTGATCGTAAAAACCACGAATGTATCTAAAACAAAATTGATGGGACATAGTGGGTGAGAACAATCGATCATCATTGTTGCTTATTTTACTATCCGTAGGGAGTAATATGGTGAATTTTTATTATTAACAATATAAACAGGATGTTTCCGCTGTTTTCTACATTATAGAAAACTCACCCTAAATTACTGAAATATCTAACGAAGCACCTGCCGAAAAATTGCATAACATTATCCATGGAATCGCCAGTGTACGTGGCGAGAGAAGCGGCCAAATTAGTCATCAGTTCGTCCGAGTATGACTGTCTGGTATTAAAAACCATGTGTTTGCAATCAGCTTTCTCCAGAATGTGACACCATATCTCTTCGCCGAATTCTAACTGTAAAAAGATATTTTTAAATCACTACGTCGATATTCTCTCTATCGATTTATTACAGGTGACATATCTCGGAGAGACAGAAAGAGAGAGAAAGGAAATACATTAAAATCTGTCATGTTAGAAACGATATGGATGTATATGTACAAACTCAATATTTGTCATACAGAAACGTAATTTGAATTTTGCATTTCAACAAAACAAATCAGATAAAACGAAATTCAACGCAAATATGAGAAATATACATTGGATATAAAATATTACATGTTACAGGAAAACGTTCATGCAATATCTTGATTACGTGCCGGACAATAAGTTTCATAGGGGTCTATTATAAATCGATACGGATAATCGAGCCATTCACTGGTCTCTGTAGGCCAGTAAATGCTTCTTTTGCTCTCTAAGAGAAGAGACCACGGAACAGAATATGTGCCCTTTAATAAGGAAAGCTCTTAAGAACTATATCGCAAATGAACACGCAAATGTGCAGAAGTGTTCGGACGAACGATTATAGTTGTATATGTTAGTTGTTCAGAAATTCGTTCTTTTTTTTATAAAAATATACGTTTGAAGGTTTAATCGGTATCCGACAGATTATCGTTAAACTGACCTTTGTAAAAGTTTTCACGAAAAGCATACGCAATAAGCGAAATTGATAAAAACTACCAACTTGTTAATTTATGTAAATATGTGCATAGATTATAACATGTTAAAATCGGCAAATATTCTTATATTATGCGACTATCAACATGGAGCGTAATATATTAAAGGAAGAGGGAGAGAAAGAGAAAGAGAGATAGAAGAGGAAGCGAGAAAAATATAAGCAAGACATTATCAAAACAAATCAGTAATCGTCCTTACGTGCTGATCGAATGATGCTATTTTTAAAACCGCGTACAATTAAGGTATCGAGTTAAGAGGAAGTCTTTAAATTTTCATACATATTCAAGCACCTCGTTTATTACATATCTACGAAGCGTTTCCTTCGACGAGTACGTGACACACGTTACAAGTGCCTGGATTAATATGAGACAACGCAAGAATGTAACGAAACAAAGAACCATTCTTAAGATTTTTCAAATTCTTCTGACAATATTACTGATGTTATTAGAATAATTGAAATAACTCAACGTTACATAAACGCAATAAGATGACATATTTTGTAATCTCAATGTATTCAATAACTTCGTTCAATAACTTGAACAAACTAAAGTGGAAACGTGTAACGAGTTTAATTCATTGCACGTCTGTCATTTTCATGTGAAATTTATTTCCTGAATCAAAGTGTATTGTAAATTGAATACATATATTAGAGGATGAATGTCAAATTAATATTACACAGTTATGTTGTATCTATTAAAACCTTATTGCGCGCAACTGTCGCGAAGTCCAATATTTGTATCCTTTCCTAAATTACACTTCTGCGAGAGTAAAGGCGACAGAACCCTCTATTTGATCAGCAATTGGTTGTGTTTGCGTTAGAAGTGCCAAGTAACGATCCGGTATCATATGTTAAGACTGGCATCGAAATTAAGATTGTAGATTTTGATTATAATCTATATAATGGAATCTTCCCCGTTACTTTCGATAATGACTTCATCCAAGTTATTAATTAATGCTCGATCTCTCATCTGTGTGTAATCGCAGATGTATATGCAATTATCGGGAAAGAGCCAATAAATTGTGCTGTCTACCTTAGCGTTATCGTGGGAAATTGAACACGCTGTGGATCGACGAGTTTAATTTTGCCCGTTATCTCTACCGAAAGACAGTCCGGGATGTAAATTACAGTTGGAAGTTTAAGATAAACCTATTCGCCGTGTTAATTCCACTTGGCAATTGAATGCCCCTTTCGATACGTACGATTCATTGAAGTGGGTACTAACGAACGTGCAATTAATTTTGAATCTCGCGAAATTCGCTGTCGCGTTACAAATATTTCACCTGTAACATTTGCGGCCCGAACTTGCGCAACGAACGTTTCTCCGCTCATGACGAACGCTTTTTCTCGTCGTTAGACGCTTTTTTCTTAAAAAATCATCAGCTACCCGTCGGCGAAAAAGGGAGCTCAAATGGATTTTATTAAAATCAGCGCCGCCAGAAGATAAATGTCCTGTGGCCCAAAAAAGAATAGATCGTATTTCGCTCGCGTTAACGCGTGGGACGACTCCGGGGAAGACTTCTAAGCTCAACATTGTTAACAAAGGAAAGAGAAGAGGGAGAAAGAGAAAACTGCACGAACTATCAAATAAAAGAAACAGGCGCCTCGGATATTTCTGAATGCAATTGTACAAGTTGTCGCGTTCACGTGCTTTCATCAGCGCAGCATCCGCAACGCAAACTCCTAGGATCGAATATATATATATATATATTTCTAGCAACAGCTGCGCCGCTATTATCCTGTGAAACTTGTGTGAGCCGTGTTATACATAATAAGAATTAGGTAGGAAAAAGTACACTAACTCGTATCGCAACAACTTTTCCAATCTCCTCTTTGGCTATTTTAATTTCTTATTATGGAGAATATTTATAATATCTCGTCGGGGAAAAATATATATTTACTACATATTTAACAATTTCACGAATTATTTTTGAAGTTTCAACAATTTTTTTGTGTATTTGTACACCGATATTCTATATTATTAGTCTGCTTTCTTAGAGTAACGTCGGATGGTGTACGATGTCAATGAAAATGATCGATTGACACAATTGATGTCTCTTAATCTACAAATCGCTGAAACGTCAATCGACTTTCCTTCGAAAACATCATTCAATTACATTAATTACAAAACATAATCTTCGCGGTTATTATTTATCGTCGAAGAAAATGTACAAAATTCAAGCAGAGCTTTGTGTACCACGAATGCAGAGAATAATTACTTACCGAATAGTGAAGCGAAAGAAGGAGAAAGAAAGTGTCAATTCGAAAAAAAAACAAATTATCCCTCGTGTGCACATCGTGTAAGCGAGATGCGTGTCCCAAGTTAACCGAATACACATTGCCGTATTTTCAATTTGTTCACACTTTACCAACCTGCACGAAGTATTGCACACTTTCCAGCAGCATCCCGTACATCTTGATCAACGCGTTCGCGTATTTTGTTCCACTTATCTAAGGATCCGTTAATTAGATCACGGAAGCACCCCGCCGGCTGTCTTATGAGAAGATCCCCCTCGCAATTTCACAGCAAAACGGAAAACCCTCCGCATCAACCCGTCTCACGAAGCCCGCCCCAGCGCTATCGCGACGCTCGGAAGACAAGTGTCCCGCGTCATCGGGGTAGACGCCTGGTACCCGGTGTCATTTGAACGTTAGACCTCCCCCGGCGCACAGCGAAGAGAGGGAAGTCAAGTTCGCTGAATGGCGCGGAAGATCGAGTTTCGACTGTGGCCGGTGGGTTACTCAACCTAGCAAGGATGGGTCGGCAAGATCTACGTGGTGCGTGCGCAGACTTCATCGCTGTTCCGGAGGCTTTCGCACCTGAATGCTCCCGGCGATATAAACGCTTCCGGGGGAAATTTGTATAATTTGATCGGGGAAGTTTCAGCATAAAGAAAAGAACGAGGATAGGGAGACAGAATCGAGAGTTGTTTTAAAACGGTTTTTCCCTTTTCAAGTTCCTCTAGTCCTTCCTCTTTCTCCTGCCGGTAAAAATACACGATGGCATCTTGAAGACGGAAGAGTGCCACGGAAAGACTCGCAGTCGTAGCTCGCGACAAGCCGAGCGAGTGTCGTTGACCGCCCGGCGCAAGTTCAAGATTGCTCCAAAAGTCATTCGCAATGTCGCGTTAAATTAAATTTCGTGCCGCTACAGCGGATCCTACAGTAATTATCAGGCCGTAGTTCGGTAGGCGTGTGCGTGACTCCTTACCGCGTGCCGGCAGAAAGAATGACACGCGGCGGACTCGTTTGACGTCCACATAGACACGTGTACACACGTACACACGACCACAACCGGAGCCCCAGCGAGTCGGTAAATGCGTGCGCCGTCAGCCGACAGTGGAAACGTAAACATGGCCGCGGAGAGTAGCGACGGTTTGCCAATATCCCCGTCCGAGAAATCGCTCACCGGTAGCCTCGTGTCCGACGAAAACGAGAAAAGTGTCTCGCGCTCGCCGTCCAGTTACTCGATACGGGAGGATAAATGGCCGGACCTGGTAGTGTCCAGACCCAGAAAGCTGGACGCCTGGTGGCTGCCGAGACGTAAGTACGTAGGCGCGATAGGTGCATGCTCCCGCGATTCCGGCGCGCTTTTCAAAAGTCCGCGCCCAGGATTAACTCCCGGCACGCGCGGTAATTAGCGTGCGTGAGCGTATCGCACGTGGCCGCCGTCATCGTTGTTATTCGACAATCTCGCACGATACCGGCCAGGGCTTAAGCTGATCGGATATTCGCCGCTCGGGTTATAAAACAAATTGCGAACGACTGAACGATCTCGGAATATGCTTCGAGGATACGTGAAACGATCGCGTCTACAGGTGAGCCTTGTTGATTCAAAGCAGTTGAAGCGAGGCTACGTGAGTCGTAAAACGTATGTCCAGTTTTTACCCAATAATTTGGGATGCGACGTGAAACGTGTCGACTCACTTTTCGGTCGTTTGCAATCGAAGCGACCGTACGACTTTACAAGGCAGAAACTTCTCGATTTTTTAAATACCAAAATCCTTCCCCTGGGAGATTCTCCCAATATTTGTTGAATTCAATATTTTCCCTCCCTCCCAAAAAATTACTTATTGAAATATTTCACAGACGTACTGGATTCTTCAGATTTTGCGTTATACGCTTTTTCTAGCTATATGATTCAGCTAATTATTATTAGCTAACGCTATATATGTATATATTACCTTTTGCTGTGTCCTTTTTTAAATATGCGTAATGTGTTCGTTAATCAATATTTCTTTTCATTGAAGATATATTCTCGCTATCTCTCAGAGAGCTAAACGGAATTCGCACTGACCCGTTGAGCTGATTTACGCATTCACGCGTTTACTGTTACATTCTTATCGAACTTGGCACTTGTAAACAACTTTTGCAATATACTAGTTGATTACAATTCCGCCGACTATTGCTATGTCATCACATCAAACAATAAACGGTGTCCGCTTTATTCGAATGGATTTTCCAATAGTAGGTATAGTACTAGAAACAATAACGCATTGGCATTTTCCTGTTGATGTCATTTATGTTTGGGATACATTTCGCATTTTACCGGTTTCCGGTGTACGTACGTTCACGTGCTGTGTGACTGCCGCGATAAGCCGTGGCAGAAAGAAACAATCGTAGAATGTGACGTACCTGGGCTCGCATCGAAACGTTAAATGAGCGTGTGCAGCCCGTAATGCTGTTTTTCCCACAATTATGCGCATGCTATCAATTGTTTGACCGCAATGTGGGATACATAAGCGTCAAACCGCTTGTATTGTCGCATTCACCGTTTCGGGAGAGCGATCGGCGTTCATGTTTCGAGTCTGACTCAACCGCAAAATAAACCATCATTATCGATCAATTCGATGGTGTAATTGATAGTGTTCAAGTAGATTTCGATAATGCCTAATTGATAGTGTTCAAGTAGATTTCGCAATAACGCTTCTATGCGACTCTACGGAAACGTATACGGTAAACTTGGTAACGTCAAAATAAAATTTGACAACACGGAGCACGTCAGTTTTTTCGTCTCCCGTGCTCGTCTAGAGGAAGAGAAAGTAAGAGTAAGAAATTCCCGCGGCTAAATTTAATCGCTGCTCTTCGCACTGCGATGCAGCAGCACACTGCCGTATCGATGGAGCAGCATGAACGACGGTGGCAGCACCACATGGCGGTGCGCACTGGCATCCTTATTGATTATCGTAGATGGAGACAAAGTCGGCGGGAAAATCAATATCACAATTCGCCGGCGCCCTCGCTATTTTCGACGGGAAATTTTTGCTCCCTCGACGTTCCTACGATCCCGAAGTTAAATCCAAGAGTGCGCAGATCGCCGATCACGCGTCTCGTTTTGTGAGCGAGTAATCGCACAGCCGTGGATATTACGATGTAGTCGCTATCGGTGCGCGTGTTGTCTCTTCTTGTTCGCCTGAGAATTGATTTGCCGCTTCCCGAATACCGCAACTCGACTGGGTCATCCCTCGCTGAGACGATGACAGATCTGCTCGTCGCTGATGCATCGCAGCAGCGATCGAGAGCGACCACCTGAGGAGGGACGAGAAGAATCAGCGAACTACACATATAACGTATGCAGATTTTTCTCTCATTGCCGACGACAACGTAAGCCTCGACTGCGCTATACCAACACCTGGTGACTCATTGCGACGCATTTATCCATCAGCTGATCGATGCAACGGGAAAAAGAGCACTTCGGCGCGCACGGTATAGAGAAAAAATCTCGACTGTAGCGCGGAAATAATAACGGACGCGCAGATTAACGAGGGCATATCGGGGGACGAGACGCGCATTGTTCGTTAATTATCGGCGAGGAACTCGTCGTCTCAACGACAAGGAGGACGTCCGATGTATATACTTGGAAAATAAATTCCCAGGTCAATCTGCGCAGTTGAAGGGAACGGCAGTCTATGCGAATCGTCGGCGGCTGCGCTTGTGCGAGTGAACGATCATTGGGGAATATCGCATAATCCCCGGGAATCGATTGTGGGATAGTGAGAGCGGAGGAATCGTCTTCTATGCGGCAAGAATCCCTGACCGGTCTGAAACTGCGGCCGCCGGGCGATCACGGTGGTGTACATCACGGCGGGGTCATGCTCGAGGAAGACATGGCTGGTGCTCAGGACACGATATACCTGTGCAATTTTAGGGTGTCGGTAGATGGCGAATGGCTCTGTTTGAAGGAGCTGCAGGATGTCGAGTTCTCGCTGCAGGACTCGATGCAGCGATCACCGTCGCCGCCGCTCGCTCTAAGTGGTATTAATCACCTTCACGATCACCATCACCATCATCACCACCATCACCATCACCATCATCATCAGCAACAGCTTCCCGAGCAACGAGAGCTTCGCGATATAATGCCTCCAAGTCCACCGCCATTGCAGCACGTCTCCAGCTTGTGTCTGTACTCGATGTGTTCTCGCACTCATCCGTTTTAATTAGCGGAGTATACGCAATAAGAAATTTCTCGTTAAAAACGGTCTATAGACATTTTTCTGTTATTTTAACACGGAGAATATGTTAAAAAGTACACGAATATATGTTAAATTGGCATATATATCGCCTTGTTAACATGTTACTTTTTAACATATTCACCTTGTTAAAGTAACACAAAGATTTTAGTGGGCTGTTTTTAATACAAAATTTTTTACTGTATAGACTGATGGCGCGATGTCGGTTTTTCCCAATCTGTTGGGTCGAGTAGATATTCGGTGTATTTCAACGTGGCCTTCTCGTGTCCCCGTTTTGACCGAGAAACCGATAATATTCGAGACGGTATTAACGAAACGCGGCTCAGTACTTCTTTTCTATTTATTTAATAATCATCACGAGTTGGGGTTTCGGGTCATACATCTTTGCTTCACACTAGGATTTACCGGCAAATGCTTCGTAGTTTGGAATTTTTCGCATCGTAGAATTTGATTTTCACAGTGGAACATTTAACCAAACAAATTTCGATGCGCTAACGTAAAGCTTGATAAAAATGAACGCTATTTATTGCAATTTAATTTATTACAGTATAATTAAGCATATTTATTTCAATTTAATTCAGCATATTTACACATCATATTATTTATAAAATAAGCATCGCTTTCTTTGTACGTATGGAAAGAGAAGCGTTCTCGTTTCCTCGCTACATATTTGCGCGAGCGCTTTCACGGAATGCATTTCTCTAACAGCAAAACCGTCGCAATCCTTCGCTTGTGATTACACACACTACCATTTTGCTTACTTTAGAAAATTTGAGATTACAAAATTTATCTTAGCGCGTATCACGCTGCATTATCATTCTTACATCGATCGAACGTCCGAAGGAACAATGTTCTTATTTAAATGTTGTTATTTATCTATTCTATAAGAATACATTCCGGATCGGATATTTGTGCTGAATTTGGAGTCGTTTTTCATCCTAATCGGGGAAGATTAATTTGAAGATTACCGCAAGTTAGAACGGACACGTATTGTTTTTGCAGCACGGGACCCGGTGATCATCGAGAGAAGTAATCTCGTTAACATTTCCAAACTAATCGTGAAGGAGCTGATCGAAACATCCTTGAAGTATGGTCGTATGCTTGATTCCGATCACATGCCGTTGCAACATTTCTTCATCGTTCTCGAACATGTGCTTAGGCATGGTTTACGGCCGAAGAAGGTAAAACACGTAGCCGTGATGCGGAGGCGGCGGGGTGAATTTTTCGAAACGGTACTAACGGCCTCCGATTTCAGGGTCTTCTCGGACCCAAGAAGGAGCTCTGGGACATTCTTCAGCTCGTTGAGAAATATTGTCCCGAAGCGCAAGATATTACCTCCAGCATTCGTGATTTGCCTACTGTTAGGTATTGGATTTCCTGGACCAATTTATATGATCAGTCGACCTGTTTTTTTTTTCTATTTTTTATTGGATCGATAAAACGCGATATTTTCAATGTTCTCATTTTCTAAAAAGAAAAAAGGAAAACACATGATTTCGTGTTATCAAATGATAAGTAGATTTTCTTATTATATTGGAGATTAATATTCAAAGATTCTTTCATTTTTCACAATTATATTTTCTCATCATTTTTTATCATCGATATTGAGGAAAGTTTCCTTTTCGAATCGAGTTACGATTTGGCGGCGTTATTTTGTTGATTCGTAATTGTATTATATTTATCAAACGATTCAAGCAGATTTTGATAATAATTTTTTGATATTTCGGTAATCGGCACTGGGATACGGTATTCTGAAGCTGCTGCTGTTTTACAGGACGGCTATGGGTAGGGCGCGCGCTTGGCTTCGTATGGCATTGATGCAAAAAAAATTAGCGGATTATCTGAAAGTTCTGATAGATCATAAGGATGATATTTTGTCGGAGTACTTCGAGCCGGACGCTCTCATGATGAGCGAGGAGGCGATCGTGGTGATGGGTTTGTTAGTGGGATTAAACGTGATCGATTGCAACTTCTGCGTAAAGGTCAGTCTGCATTAATGTTGTTGTCGCGCATCGTGCTCGTGCACGCGAAAGTGTGATTATACGCATTTGGCATGGACGCGACGTAACAGCTTAAGCCAAGATCGATCGTAACTGTTGTGACAGGAGGAAGACCTCGATTGTCAGCAGGGCGTAATCGACTTTTCGCTGTACCTACGTAACAGCAATCATATACCCGGCGAATCTCCAGACGACGAGCTCGAAAACGACAACATGACGACGGTGCTCGATCAGAAGAACTATATCGAGGAGCTCAATCGGCATTTGAAGTAAATATCTCGTCACCCGCGAATTTCGTGCGAGAATCTGACGCTTTTACGCTCGATACTGGAAACTCACGTGTCTCACGGCGATTTTAGCGCGACGGTGACGAATCTCCAAGCTAAAGTGGAATCTCTAACGACAACGAACGCTCTCATGAAGGAAGATCTCGCTATCGCTAAGAATAACATCCTATCACTTCAAGAGGAGAATAGGCAGCTGAAGAAGGAACTCGGTATCGAGGTTAAAGACGCGAACGAGGTACACACGGTCGTTACGGAGTTGCGTGTTACGTACGAATTGTGCTATTATTGAAGGATCGATCTGATTTCAGAACGGTAAAGCACCTCTTAAAATAACAGAAACTACAGCGGAAATGGAAGAGCTTAGAAGCAGATTAGAATCTGAAAAGAAATCTCGGCAAGATCTGGAGAAAGAATTGGAATTACAGGTGGATAAGAATCTTTCTCCTTTCGCAGCGATATATACGTACCCTTTCTGTATTACCCGTGCGAATAGAATAAAATATCTTCGTTTTCTTTACGCGCGCGCGATATATGCGGAAGATACATAAATATATATAGATACGCGTACGAGGATTGATCGATACTTTTTTCCCCTTCATACAGATTAGCATGAAGTCCGAAATGGAAGTAGCTATGAAGTTGTTAGAGAAGGATATACACGAGAAGCAAGACACTATAATATCACTGAGACGACAACTGGACGATATCAAATTAATCAACTTGGAAATGTACAAAAAGCTGCAGGTGGTATAACTTGCAACTATTAATGTCTAATTTTTTTTCATCATCTGCGTGATATAGCATACTCGCACTTTGCGTACATATTCTACTTCGTTAGATCGAGAAATAATTGAGTATTTATATAATCATTTACATAGATTGCTTCGATAGTTTACCGTTTGATTCTTGTATGAGAAAATAGCGTTCGTATGCGAGGATAGTTTTTCGATAGACAGTATTTCTTCTTCTCTCATCTTTCTCTTTCACTCGACGCATGCGTCCGTTGTTATGGGCCAGTATACTATATCACGATCGTGATACCCGTACAGTCATACTATCCGAAACGCTTCAGTCACAGACGCAGGATTAATTCTTAAACGGCGGAGCTGCTAGTCGTAGCGCAGAAACGACCGCTTCGCATCTTGCCGCGGTTTCATCAATATTTCCGGCTATCTGTCAATATTTCAGCAATGTGCCCACGTTAGAGCGAGTAGTCCCACCTTATACGCAAGAGTGTCGTTGCATAGACAACTTAGCGCGCAAAGGTGTCGTGGGTGTGCTGATAACGCCGGGAATGCTATAGTCGCGCGGCCGGGATCTCTTCTCACGGGGAGGAGGATTCCCGGCGGCAGCGTGCACGTAAATTCTCTGTTTCTGGACGTGTTTCCCTTGTAGGAGTGTGAGCACGAGCTGACACAGAAGGGCGAGATGGTGAGCCGTCTTCACGCGAAGACCAATCAGATCGGCAAGATCCTAAACAATCTCGAGAAGTACAATCACCTGATGAAGGACGGCGATGGCATACGAAGCCCCACCACCCCGGGTGGCGTGTCGAAATCTATCCTTAATAAGACTAGCCCCACTTCCTCGAGGGGTTGCCAGCCGGCGGAGAATACGACCGGCCGGCCGACCGTCGACCACCAGCGCTCCCTCGACGAGCTGCAGCAATTGAAAAGCCCCAATGACAAATTGAAACAGAGCCGCTCGAGCTCCGAGATCTCCACGAACAACAGTTCGATCGCCGAGCACGTCGCGAAGGAATAAAAAGCCAGCCTGTCCTCGCGCGTTTAGTCCTGCGACATTCAATCGGACGGTTCCGAGACCTCGGATGTCTGGCGGCTGTACGCGTCGCGTACGTTTCTTCACACCCAGGTTCTCTCTCCGCGGAGACGTGCACGAATTGTCTATTCATTTCGCCGGGTTCCCACTTGAGTTCTCCTTACGCGAACGGTCGTACTTTCGTCCGGCTTTCGTCGAGTGTCACGCTTGAAGATCAAGCGACGCTGAGTTGACGAGTCACGCATAACTATTGTGATGTGACGAAACGATCTGGCGGAAATTATTAAGTTATAGTAACACACCTCTGTGGAGAAACGCATTTCACGAATGAATCTTGGAGGGGAACGGAGGAAAATATTGTGTAATACTTATAATGAAGCTTATAATGAAATTGTTCACGGTGAAATAGCGTGACGTTTAAGTTGATTAATTTGCGAGGTCCGGTTCCTTGATTTAATCGAACGTTTCATTACATCACAAATTCGCTCGGAAATTCTGCGTACGACAGGTCGCAAAACTGCAAAAACGAGGACGCTACCGATGTGTACATAGACCATTCTACTAAGCCCGTACTGTCGACATGCCTAAATTATCATGAAAATAATTTCCAAATCAATACGCATAATGTATCGTAATATTCCAGGTTTGCTTAGAGAGTTTGCTTAGAGATAATCGTCTCTTTCGCTTGTACTCAATAAGTATTCGTTTCAGGAGTGCGAAGGCTCGCTTAAGCATAAGACAGAACTGATCACAAAGTTGGAAGCTAAAACACTGTCGATGACTGAGAGCATCCAGAAAATGGATGAGAAGTATGTTTATTTGTCTTTCATTAGTGTTAATTAACATATAAGTGAGATCGGTCGCGCGTATATTCGAGATTAGAGGCAACATTAACCATTAGCCATTAACAACCGCACCCATCGGAAAAAGTTTTGCGTTTGTTTACCGCGCGCTTTTGTACTCTGATGTTGACGCGCCCTTTTCCCCGTTGAGCGGCTTGCCCGATAAATTGCCAATGCAAAGGTTTTGCTGATAAGTTGGCCTTTCCTCGATATCGTGAATTATCGAGAAGTAGTTCGCACATGTGAGCTGAAAGGAATGGGATTAGTTTGATCAATACCGTATTACCTGATCGGGTATTAATGTCGTTGGGACATGTTAGGTAGAATGTGGCTGCAAAAGCGATAGAGACGACGAGAGCATTCGAGAAAGGGCGAAAGCTCGTTTTCAATTCGTACCACATTGTAAATAAGTTTTTATTATAGAGAATCGCATGCTCTGTTACACGCAATTGTCGTATTTTCTATAGTCAACGCGATTACACGTATAATTCAGCGATGATCCGAACGACGCAAAACTTTTCTTGATGCGTGCAAGAAACGTTCCTCGTTACTTTTACTTGTTTTGACATCTGACGAAATATTAAAAAGTCGTACACTTTTACTAAAGTAATATATAGTTGAATTTGTCGTAACGAGAGAGTATTGCGACTATAATGCTTACATTTGTCGTCGACGTTGTCGGGAAAAGTTTGACAACTGATACGTCGCGTGACGTTGCCGTTTCCCGAAGATAAAACGCTGAAGATCTCTCCATGTTATCGAACTACCTTAGTAGGCATTATTTACGTACAAACATAGTTGTTGTGATAAGACTTTTCTATCAGCTGTCGTTATACGGAATTCTGCAGTGATAGCAAACGGCCGCGTACCAGCGAATTAAATCGAAGCACGCACGCAGACAGACGGGAGATGACAGCTCTAGCTAGAGATGATTTATTTTTTACTAGATGTCGCGAGAGATGACGCGATCGGGTTTAGATAGAGTAGGTTAGAGAGCGCGAAGGAGAGAGACAAAAAATCGCGAAGCACTAGAAGTTAGAAGGACTCTTGTCGTCACGGGGATATTGGCAAACCCTCGCTAAATGGCTCGATAAGATCACGTCGATTTACGTAGCTATTAATATTGTCGGGACATATTTTAAAATCTTTCGCAATAACCGATAGATTTATACATAATAATAACGTAATAACTGATAAAGTATATTAACGGCTAATGGATAGGAAAGATAATATTAACAAATATTTATCGTAATAATCATCGGACTTACTTCGATCGTTCGTTCGCGCAAAAGTGAGTTTCTCGTTTACGTAGAACGCTCGCTTGACTGTTTTAAGTGTATGACGCGAATTTTCGTATCTCCTTGAACCGTAACGATCGCGTTTAAGGAACTGATTCGCGATCACCCACGTCACCGAATCATTCCTCCCCTGATTGATTTATCGATACACATACGGAAACCAGCCTCAACGTCAATTAAGTTAGTCGCATTATCGACATCTATAATCGACATACTAACGTGTAAGAGATTTTTCGAAACGATCCTCGTTACTTCCGGCCGGAGGTAACACGCTCGACGGTTTAACTGAACGTGCCATATCCATATTACCGATATATTCACATACACACACAACGTACTCGTATAAGCCTCGCGCAGTGGACATTATAACGCACTCTGACACTACGTGTGCTTGTACCAACGCTACGAAAATAAACTCATGACAGAAAAGAGTGTGCGTTTGTGTTTACCCCAAATTTTCATCGGCGACTAGATGTAAGGTGCCTCGACTTGCCGGTCTAGGATATCAGACGGGGCTTGTATTTTAATCATGTATTTCTTTCTTCAATTTTTTTACATTTATTTTCGTACGATCACTCTCTTCTTATGCGATAATGAATTGTAAGGTAAGTTATGTACATACGTTTGCAACCAATGAGATTGTAAATTACTCATCAGCGAGACCGTAAATTTCTCATTACGCCGATTTAATTGAAAATTAAACGGCTCTCATTGCTGCTCCATTAACAGATTTGTACGCACGCGTGCTGAAATATGAAATAGTAACGTGCACACTTCTATTTTGCTGTACTCGTCAAACATCCGATCATTGTAATATATTATGGACTGTCGGTTATTACTAAATATCAGAGTAACATTTGATATCAGTTAGAGTGATGTCAAGACATCAGCTGGAAAAATCTCACGAACTGGCACTCTTTCTGTATTCTCCTAATGCATAATCACGCGCGAAGGTTCAAGTTGGTTAATGCTTGATAATTGATTTTACGTTTTCAGCTCCGACTTTTCGATGTAAAAATATTATAACGATTTATGCATATTTCGATAGAAATAACCACTCACATTCTCCATCATTTCTGATAATGCGATCGCAAAGCAGTTCCTTAAATGCATTAACTTATTCATAAAAACATGGTATTCGTGGGATTTGTCTGAAAGAAAATAGCATTAAGCGATAAACGAACGATCTATCAGATTTACTTCGGCGAGCCAAATATCGTGACGTCTCTCGTCTTTTAATTGATTAATATAAAGACGACACTAACTAGAACGAGGACGTAAAAACGTGAGCCGCGTTCAGCCGATGAAAAACTTACGAGAGGCCATCGATATCGCGCGATATTTTTGTACCGAGCGAGCGAGGGATCATCGTCTCAGATATAGTGTCACGCGTCATTACACTCACATTTATCTGAAATTCTAACGTAATCCCGGCGCGAGGTATGAGTTAAAGATCGTCGATCCAATTGAACGAAATGGCTTCTAGACGGGGATGGGTTTTATGTCTTCTACGTTTAAGTACCAGCGATTTGACTTAATCAGGTGCAAGGAGATCGATGGTGTCAGATCGGGGGTGGAGGAGAGGGTGAGAGTCCTGGACGCGGAGGCCGTTGAGAGGGAAGCGCGGACGAATGGGGTCGAGAGGGAATTGCGACTCGAGCGCGAATGGAGAACCTCCTTGCAGGAAACATCGATCTGTAACACGGAGAAGATCTCTCAATTACATCAGGAGATCGATCAGCTGAAACGGGTGTCCGAGGTACGTACCTGCGATCTGTATTGCCTTTTAACCATACCGGCCGAATAAATCTCACCGGTTAACGTTATCGTCGTCGCCGCCGCCGCCTTGTAAGTTCCCGGCGATGTCGAGCTTGCGCGGGCGACGCGATCCGATCTTTCTATTTAAATCTCATCTCGAGACCTGCCAGCGCGGATTATAAGCCCGCACCTAATTCAATCGGCAAACGGCAGTTGCGGAGATTTATCCGTCTTTCGATAATAGAACCCGACAGTAAGTGCCGCGGTGCGCCGACCTGAAATAGATTAATGAAATTTATTCGAACTCTTCGTCCCACGCGTGTTATTTGACGGTTAGACGAAGATAAGTTAATTTTCACCAGGATATGGAGCAACATCCGTCGGGTGCACTTGGATATAATAACCGTGGTTAATGCATGGAGAGTAAAAATACATCGTCCCCAACGGCGCGGAGCGAAGCTAAAAGTCCGACTATCGATGCGCGTCGCATAAAGCTGCTGACACGGGAGTCATCTGAATATACCACAGAGACGGGAACGGGTAGAAAAATGGCAGAAATAGACAATATTTTATAAGATTGTGTTTCAAGATAACGTAGAATTCATGAAGAAAACGCGAGCTAAATCAAGATGTGGTGCATCTTCGGTTGAAATATAACCGCGTTATACGATCAGATCAATAAGGGAGACGAGCGAATAAATTAGCGCGTGTTCGCGCGTTTCCGCACTTCCCGGGGGAATTCGCCAGTCAGCCGATTCACCGTTAATCGCGGCAGTGAACGAGCGAGTAAATACACGCCGGGTGTCCCGTTGTTCCAGAGATACTTGACGCTGCAAGAGGAGTATTACGCGCTGAAGGAGGTGTGCAGCGAGCAGGAACGAACTCTGGAGGAACTTGGGGGACAATTGAGCGCGGCCAAATTAGCGGCGGCCGAACTGCGCGAGGCCGCTGACAACGTTCAGCAGCAGCAGCAGCAGTCGGCGCTCCAAGAAGGATCGGTTGCCTGGGCGAACGATCGGATGGTCACCCAATGCAAGGGGTGCAGCCGTGAGTTCAACATGACTCGTCGCAAGGTAATCAAACTTTTTAATTGCCCCCACGCCTTCGCCGCCCCTTTCTCACTGTCTCTCTCCCCGACTTCCCCGGCTCCTTCGCACCCTCTTCTCTTCTATTCGCGGAACTCGCGCCGAGCTCTCTCGGCTGAAAGCGCGGCGCACCGTACGTAATTGTACAATTATCCCCCGTCGCCCTGGAAATTACCGCTTTCCCCGATGCGGGCTCCAGCGTTAAATGACCGATCGGGGCCGGAGTCTCGGTGGCCGCGAAGATCCGACGGAGGTGCGCGCTCGTCACGGCTCGTCGGGGCATCTCGGAGATCGGAATCGCAACTGGCGCGCAACAACTTTGATGCACGACAGTCGTATTATTAGAGATAGGGCGGGCTATCGCGCGTTGCCCGGGCTAGCAATTACACTTAAAGGCTTTCGTTTACCTAACTTCCCCCTTTATTAAATCGCGATAGGCCGTAATGAGGGCCGGAATTTGTGGATAGATAAGAGCCGCTTGAGGGATCACGGGGGCTTAAACAAGTTCTCGAGCGTGTTAAGCACCCGCCCGTTACGTTTTTTCGTTCGCTCATTAGCGAGACGTGTCGCGTTACACGAGGGGGGGGGGGGG